GAATCCCAGCTCGCTTGGCTAATAGAGCACCTGAAATCTGGCCATCTTGTACCTCTCTCCGTTACTATGTATCGATGACGTAATTCGATTTAATCGCTCGATTTTGCAGCCCCTATGGGAACACTTAACCCAACGTACTTTTGTCTTATCAATCTCTTACTCGCATCACCGCCCATAAATCCCAAATTAAAAATAAAATATAACGATGTAAGGAATAAAACAATTATTCTTCTGCGCAAGAACGTACACTTCTATAAGAGCGAAGCTTTTAACCTATTATTCAACAGCTAGGATAATTATTGCTGCAATGTCACAAGTAAAAAAATTAATATAATATTTAGGATTCAGGTATACTTGATCCTATAAATTCCTATTGGTAATTAAATTTCAAACGGAAAGGTTCGTTGTGTCTGCACTATAAAGTGCGTCGCGAGTGCGTCACGTGTGCGTCTTGGCTGCGTCGCGAGTCCGTCATGAATGCAACGTGGATGCGTCACGAGTGCGTCATATGTCCATCGTGGATGTTTCACGAATGCGTCATAAGTGCGTCATGAATGCATTGTAAGTAAATTAGAAATGCGTCGCGAGTGCGTCATGAGTGTATCATGAGTGCATCACGAATGCGTTAGGTATGCATTCCAAGTGAATTAGGAATGCGTCACGAGTGCGTCAAGGGTGCGTCAGGGATTTATCAAGACTGCGCCACAGATGCGTCAGAGTTGCGTCAAGAGTGCGTCAAGGATACGTCACAGATGCATCAAACTTGCATCATGACTGCATCTCGAGTGCGTCAAGAGTGCGTCAAGGGTGCGTCATCGATGCATCAAGGCTGCGTTGTGGATTCGTCAGAGTTGCATCAAGAGTGCGTCACGAATGCGTCAGAATGCATTCGAAGTGAATTAGGAATGCGTCACGACTGCATCTCGAGTGCGTCAAGAGTGCGTCAAGGGTGCGTCAGCGATGCATCAAAGCTGCGTTATGGATTCGTCAGAGTTGTATCAAGAGTGCGTCACGAATGCGTCAGAATGCATTCCAAATGAATTAGGAACGCGTCACGAGCGCGTCAGGAGTGCGTCACGAGGACATCACGAGAACATCAGGAGTGCGTCAGGAGTGCGACACGATATTATAAGTGAAAAGGTTTAAACTCAACCAGGTCAATTTTGTCCCGTCGATTCGATTAACTCCGAAGCGAAGTTGCAAGGTGCAAGAAATTCTTGCCAGCGCAAAAAAGCTGTCCCAGTACTCGACTCGCTTCTTGAATCTTCGACAAGGCATTACGTTCAATTAATATTCAATTTGATCCGTAAACAGGCTGATTTGCAAGCAATAGCGGATCAATTCGTAACTTTAACTTTCTTTTTAATAGAAAATTTCAACTTTCTAATACCGTCCTTAGTCTCGAAAAACTTTTTCCTGAATGGAAGCTTATTTGCCGACTTCACCCTGTTACCCGTAAGATTGAAACGCGTTTAGAAAAGACAGAACTACGTAGAAGCGTCAACTACCTCGTTATTTAATTGGGACATATTGAACTTTAAAGTTGAACTTCCCCGAACCGGAAAGCACACTCGCGTTTGAAATTCGTCTGGTCACAAGGAATATACGTCAAATTCGCGGGGAACTCAATTTCTGTCTGAAAATTCAACGCAGACCGTAGTTTGTTTGCCGCTATTCAATTGTAGAAGTTTGCACGCATTCTTGCTACAATATTCGCGACGTATAATGACCGTCGAAACTCCCTCTCTATCTTTCCCCGATATTATTCCCGGTTAAGCGCGAGCTCCGGTGTAAAATAATTAAAGCCGGAGGATTCGAAGCGCTTCGCGCAAACATTTATCTCTCGCAGAAATATCAAAAAGTTAAATTAAACAATAGGGAGACAGCAGTTCCCTACAATTTTTTCCATAAATAAATGTGATAAAACATACACGAACAATGGAAATATTTTGACTGGTTTGAATAATATTCCGTGAGGAAAGTTTCTTGAAATTGTTCAGATCGAGTTTGAAAATATTTGAAGGAAACAATCGGCGTAATTCGATGTACGTTAGGTTTAATGGCGGGATTCAATATCGGAAACCGATATATACGCTTCTCGGAAGTATTACGAATTCAGCAGGTGCATCTGTTACGTCAAATTACGAAAGTTGCCGGCGAGATCCTCTCCTCGACGTCTCACGGCTGACTAATGACTGACATCAACTACTTCGCTGCGTTTCACCACTGCGGGATGCGTTTCGCCGTTATATCTCCTCATGGTCTGACGAATTATGGGTCTTTGTCACTGCTCGAAGTTGCCCATCTGCGGCTCGTTATTCCTAACCGCGCAAAAATAGAGAAAAACCTTTTCGAATTAGTCGTGATTAATAATGCGGGCATTCGTCTTTCGTCCTGTTTTTCTATCCCCGTTTTTTCCCTTTATTTCTGTGTCCCCGTTTATACCGGCGTCATTTTTCTTCCCTACTTTCGCGAAAGCCACACTGGCCGCTCCATTTCGCCTAATTCCGCCGTCGTGTTTTTGACCCGGTTTCCAAAGTGCAACGGCGCCCTAATAAATCCTCGACTGACCCACGCTCCGACTCTGTGGCTTATATTTTATTACGCAATAAAATATGGACTCCGAGTGCTTTTCTTATTTATCGCGCCGTTTTAAATCGCTTTTCGGTCTTCGATTTTTCATGGACACGTTCCACTTGTTTTATCCTGCATCCCCTTCCCGTACTTTCACGAGCACTTACAGCTCAAACCTTATTGAAATTTTGAATACTCTTCAACTCGAAATTTAGGTCCAGCTATAAGTTACATCATCAAGGATCCCTGAATATAAAATAGTTACATTTTAATTTTGTTTGTTCGTTTTAACGTTATAGCCCTGAATAGACTTGACTGACGCATCTGTTAACACTAAAACTACCAAACCGGTCAAATGACCGCTCCACAAAGTACATATTTTGGTAAAGTACATTCCTTGAAATCAGCATTGATTTTCATCAAGGTAAAGAATAAATGTGTGTACTAATTTATGTTTCGTCGTTTGTTTATTTATTTTTTAACTTCATTTTTAATTTCAATTTGAGTGCACATTATATGCCGGTAGGTTTAGTGTTAAATAAATGGCACGGGAAAGGGTTCAACTTACAGCGTGATGTTTCATAATTACTGCATAAATCTTTCTGTATAACTCGTAACATGTAAACTTATCGAAAAAGACTTTGACATATAAAATTACGGAAATTTGGAATTAAGGAACATCTCTGTACACTTTTCATTCCCCGCAAAATAAACTACGGGCCGAGCTAATATTTCCGGCGGTGTCTAGCGATAAATAACGAAAAAACTTCCTTTTTCTCGCGAAAAAATAAATGCCGGTTATCCAGCCGGAAGCAGTGTATTTCGCGATTGTAGGGTCGAGGCGAATAGACGGGACAAATAGAGGTAAAGAAGAAACGTGCTGCGACTGAATAAACCTCGTGTTGCCAGGATATAAGGCTTGTCAGCTATTTTCGCTGGAAAATAAACGCTACGATCTTTTGTTTAGCGAAAATCGGCGAAGTCAGCGAGCCGCGGAAAAGTCGTAACGTGGCTAATTTTTCGATCTGTTGTTAAACGTTTATTTTGGAAAACTGTAACTTCGAACTGGGCTGATACACCGCTGGGCTGACACAACGTTAACATAGATTTCTTTATGTCGGAATCGCTTTAAACCTTGTCACAGCTGCTTGGACTCGTGTCATGAAACCTTCTATAGCTAACTTCAGTTTTGCAAAAAGGAAGTCATATGGAGATAAGTCAGGATTTGGAGGACGTTGGAGCACGCAGACTTCTTCGCCAAAAATTCACGAACAGACAGTTCACATGGTGCGTTATCGTGCAACGGAAACCAACTTCCCGAAGCTCGATATTCGGACCCCACACGAACGATCCTCTTCCACAAATGTTCCACAACACCCAGATAATATTCGCCATTAACATTCTGTCCCTGTGGAACGAATTCCCGAAGTATAATTCCTTTAGAATCGTAAAAGCGAATTAACATCGTCTTCTCGAGGGACTTCTGGAATCGCAATTTTTTGATTTTGGAGAGCCTGGAGATTTCCACGCAGCACTTTGGCGCTTTGTTCGAGGTTCATACTTGAAGCACCGAGTCTCGTCACTAGTTACAATTGATTCCAATGTACAGTTTCTGGCTTTGATAAGATCTCGCAATATTCAACGCGAGCAATTTGTCGCGCTTGCCCGTGATTTTGTGACACGGTGACGAAAGGTTCTGTCGCGTTAAACGCTATAAGTTTACAATCCGTTGCTCGATTCCAATAATTGCTGTGTTTTGTAGGAGAGGTATACTTTCAGATAACATTGTTTTAATAGATGGTGCTAGTTTTCCTTAAATTTAAAAAGTGTGTAGCGTAGTTCGCGCGTAAAAAATATCAAAGCTGATCTAATTAGAATCGATAGGGGTATCGAAGAGTTTCGGCAAGATCAATCGAACGAGGTCAGAGATCATCGAACTACCATGTACACAATTGGACAGGTTTCAAAAACGATACGGGCATTTACGGTGAATTAGTGACAGGCCTCGATATTCGCGACGCGATGATTACCCTCGATAAACACGTGATCGATACCCAGGACCGAGCACAATGCCAAACGTTGAAACGCGCGGAAAACCCTCTTTCCTGTTCGCTCTACTTTCGTCCGAGGCTCGTTTTTTTCCCCCGGTTTTCCATTAAACTTCAACGAGCATCGGGCCGAGTTTTCTTGCGACGAACAATAAAACCAGCCGGGAACAACCCACCTAAGGGCATCGATAATTCATCGTCAACTGTCGATTCTTTGTCTTGGCATTCCTTTCTCCATATTGTTCTCCATAATTCTCCGATCGAATTCGATCACGCATTCCGGCTCTTCCTTTCAAACTTTCTCGGCCGTTTAATCGTCGCGTTAACGGAGAAAGCTAAATTGTCAAGAGGATTAGACGTTTTCTTTGTAACTCGCAGCTTGCAACAAGACGTACTACGGCGACGTGGGGAAAACTTACGACCTGGAGCTTCATCGACCAAAGGAGGATAAGGTGCCTTACATTTGCAAGCTCACCTTCAGCGCACCTGGCGGCGATTTGGGAGATATTGTTCAGGTAAATTCGTTGATATATTACCCTATTTATAAACCGAGAGATAAACTACCTCCAGTAGATCGTATAATTTTACTCCGTTTGGTCTCCTGTGGCTTTCCGAACGTTAACGATCAAATTATCTCGTTGGAAACGGAGAAACGATAATCCCCGAAATGTTAACTCAAAAAATACGTGACCAACGTTCGGCAAAGAAATACAGACGAACTAGAATTAACGGTGGAATTTTTAATAACGCAAATTGCTAGGATTGCACGAGTTAGCCGGAAAACCATCCGAATAGATCGTTGGCCGGAAAAGTTTCGCGGTGAAACTTTTCCTTCCACGCTATGCCAAATTATTTATACTCGGTATTTACCGGACGAGGCCGTTCCACCGGATATTTTTACCTGTTTGCTGTTTTTATCAAAGGAACTTCTTCGGACTCGGATGGAATCAGACGGACGACGTTTAAAACATCTGTACTTTTTTTTAAAGCCGATATTTTAATCAGGGAATGCTCGTTCCAAGTTTTTGCTAACTCGATTCGTTATCATTTTCATCGACGAGCAACAGACGTACGAATTTTAGGACAATTGACATAAATGTTTGGTGAAAATGCTGATGAAAATGTCAGACAAAAATGCTGATACAAAAAACGTCTGATAAAAATGTTGATACAAAAATGTCTGATAAAAATGTTGATACAAAAATGTCTGATAAAAATGTTGAAACAAAAAATGTCTGATAAAAATGTCATATATAAAAATGTTGATAAAAATGCCATATATAAAAATGTTGATAAAAATGTCAGGTAAAAATGTTGATACAAAAAATATCTGACATAAATGTTGATACAAAAAGTGTCTGATAAAAATGTTGACAAAAATGTCAGATAAAAATGTCATACATAAAAATGTTAGATAAAAATGTCTGATAAAAATGTTGATACAAAAAATGACAGGTAAAAATGTTGACAAAAATATCATATAAAAATGTTAGACAAAAATGTAAAATAAAAATGTCTAATAAAAATGTTGATACAAAAAATGTCAAATAAAAATGTCTGATAAAAATGTTAGTACAAAAAATGTCATAAAAATATTGATAAGAATGTCAGATAAAAACGTTGACAAAAATGTCAGGTAAAAATGTTGCTAAAAATGTCAGATAAAAACGTAGATAAAAATGTACCAAGCTCTAACTGCATGAAATAACAAAGTACTATCTTCTTAAACATAAATAAATTAGGCAGAAAAGTTAGGGAAGGAATTAATAGAAATTGACCGAGTGGTCTGATTTCAGTTGACGTTCGACAGCTTCACCCTCGGGAAATTCGTGTCGTTCACGGTGGAAGGATGTCCGGACGGCTCGCTGCAAATTTCGGAGGCCCAACGACCGGACGTTGGCGGCCTCTGGTGCGGGACGTCCTGGGGACCCGCGATTTACTACAGCGAGACACCAACCGTCTCCATCACGCTGAAGCTGCTGAGACTCAGCAAGGATCAGACGGGATTCAATTTCGACTTCAGGATGGCGTATAAGATGATCAGAAAATCTGACGCCGTGGTGCGCTACGGGAATCCCTTCGTTGGTACGTGATTCGTGTTTTCAAATATCGAGTATCTGTGAATCAGATTTCACTTGCGATTATTTCTTCTTTTGCGTTGATAAAACACGTGATTGCGTAGGAGAAGGTTGCTCGTCTGGATAAAGTCGTAAGGACTCTTCCTTGATGTGCGATGACTCTTTCTAGAAGAACTGCTGTTCGATGGGAAACAAAATGGCGGCCATTTGATGTCCTCCATATTTCCGGGCACTGAAATGACTTTTTCCATCATTCATGGAAGAGCTATTGTATTTGAACCAAAGACTAATATCTGTTATTTATCCACATGATATTATTATGTAGAAGTATACAGACCGTGTACCTCATCTAATAAATTTACAGGTCTCCTAATAATTATACTATGATTCTATGGTCTATGATGTTTGACTTTAGAAATGAAATTTCATATCGTAACCACTCAGAATTTCATATAACAATTTTATAGAAGACGCATACTTGCGACGGATGTATAAAGGTTTAATATTGTTTCAGGAATAACGCAAGCAACAGGAACGCCCTCGTCAACAGAGCCAACATCGTCGTCAACGTCAGCGTCCTCGTCGAGCGACTACGCGAACAGCTCCATGGCTATTCCAGCGCAGATGGTGGAACAGCCATCAACGACCCCGAAACCGAGCACCGAGCAATACCTTGGAGACCTGATATCCGGTACCTACTGCTCTCGCATATTCAGCGACTGCGACCGGAAGAACTGCCGGCTACAGTCGCCGAACTTTCCCGGCCTGTACCCGCGCAATCTCACCTGCTACTACGCGGTAAGTCCCGTGGGAATTTTCGGCTGGAAAGTTTCGAAGAACCTCGCCGTAAACCATGGAATACCGAACAAGGATAACCCCGGGGAATCTGCCGCATTTTCTCGCTCAGTTTTTCTCGATCCTTTTCGGGAATATCCAATTTTCTCCGTAACACTTTCGGCTTGCGTCACAGATCACTGTTGCAAAGATCAAAATATTGTAATGTTATAATGTTTGTATTCGACGAACTTTGGACAGTTCAAATTAAACTTGAAAAGAGTAGGGATACAAGAGGAGACATTTTTTTATGACACACATGTCTTCGTATCTTCACTTGTACTCCAAAGTCACCTCTTGTGTCTCTACTCTTTGCTAGAAATTTAATTGAAGAGAAAATATGAGTCTGGTTAGTTATAATTTTATTGTAGCGTGCGTCATGAGTGTGTGTCATATGTGTGCGTCATGAATGTGTATCATGAGTGGTGCATTACAAGTGGTGCGTCATTAATGTGCGTCACGAGTGGTGCATTACAAGTGTTGCGTCATTAATGTGCGTCACGAGTGATGCATCGCAAGTGGTGCGTCATTAATGTGCGTCACGAGTGGTACATCACAAGTGGTACGTCACTAATGTGCGTCACGAGTGGTGCATCACAAGTGTTGCGTCCTGAGTGTGCGTCACGAGTGATGCATCACAAGTAGTGCGTCATGAATGTGCGTCGCGATTGGTACATGACAAGTAGTGCGTCATGAATGTGCGTCACGAGTGGTACATCACAAGTGGTGCGTCATGAATGTACGTCACGATTGGTGCATCACAAGTGGTGCCTCATGAATGCGCGTCACAAGCGACGCGTCACGAGTGCGTCATATATCGAACAAAGAGGTTAATCGTCGAAATACATAATAAAATTACCAAACAGACCGACACGCGTTCTCCGCCTACCAACAAAGATACACCAAAGCTAAAAAATTGTTAAAAGCGATTAACGTTGTAGAGGAATGCAAGCTTTAATCCGGGCAAATCGAATCCGTTGTCCGGGTAATGAATATTAACGGAGTTGTTTAGGTTAGCGTACGCGTGTGGAACAGAGGCATTAAAGCGTTCGTAGCGACACGCAAAACACAGCCGGTAATCCGAGAAGCCGTATTTCAGCGTGAAATCGCGGCAGCCCGAGCGAATTGAACAGATCGGGGGGTCGATGTGCAGTCGTTTCGAAAGGGGTTCAACCGAACAGCAACAATGTTGGCATTCCGACGAAAATTTACGCCGTTCCGCGGACCATTATTCTCTCGGTTTGGTCAGTCTAGACGCGCTACCGACTTTACGCTAAATACACTTCGATGGGTCGCACGAAATTCCGTGGTTTGCCGAACTAGTTTCTCCGGGGGGCCGCGAAACTTCCGCGTGCGAATCGTGAAATTTGTAACGAAACGAAATTATTCGGGAAACCGATGGTGTGAAGCGGCGTGTTCGAGTGTGAATTATTTGCAAAGAATGGAAAGTGGTGAAGAGTGTAACCTCGATCCTAGAAAGGAAACTGTATGGAAATATGTAAAATACAGGGTGTCTCATAACTTGTGTCTCTGGAATGAAAATACCAGTTGTGAGACAGGCTGTATGTATTAGAGACGATTTGTAACGAGTTCGTTCCGCTTTAATCGTACAGGTGAGGCAGCACGATGTGCCACCAGGAAAACACGCCTTAATTTCGGTGAAACAACCTCGGGGTCAATTGGTAGCCATTAGGGCGCGGGCAGCGGACACCCAGGCGGAATCATCGCCCCGTAAACTTCGTCTGTGGAAGGACTGCGACAACGTCCAGGCACGTATATTTCAACCAAAGTACTTAAATACCCCACTTAAAAATATACGAAACGTTTCATACCGTGTGTTAATAATAGCTAGAAACAGAGATACATAAGGTCGAGCATGGAAATGGCTGCACGTGACTACAGCACCCATAAAACCGAACAGCCGGTGGTTCGCACGATAATCTCCTCTTCTTAAATCACCGAATCCTTCCCGTCTAGCCATCGGCGAATTTATCGATCTGAAGGGAGTTGCCTAAATTCGGGGGCTGCGCGTGGTCTAAGTTGATAAGGATAATTTATTGGCAGACTATGGGACGTTAGATAAGATACCGGGTGTTTCCAGACCGATAGAACAATTTTCCATAATTAATCAACCGCGTTTGTCCAACGAGATTTAGCTGGAAAATCGCGATATAATTAAAAGAAGTCGACCGGTCAGTTTATCTTCGCTCCCTTCAGAATTCCGAAAGTAAATTTCATCTTCCGCAGGATTACGTGACCGTTTACGACGGCTACACCACCAGGGACCCGGTGATCCTGAAGTTCTGCGGAGGAGGAGAACCGGTGCCAGAGGCGACCAGCAGCGGCACGGAGATCCTCGTCGAGTTCACCACGTCTCCGTACGGCACGTTTTTCCACCCCACACCGCCCCACTCTCTCCACGGCTTTCAATTAGAAGTGCAAGTACGTGGTAATTCTCTTCAAACATTCAGAAGAGGGCCGGAAACACCGGCCATGCTTTACACCTGAAGTATGGCCGGTTCATGGGTCGCATTCAAATGGATTGCCTACACTATTTTTCGCCTGAAACGTTTACTGATCTCTTCTAATGAATTTTACAGCCGTCGTTGTTTAACCTGTTCGCGTAATTTCCTTCTCGCAAGCTTCTTCACAAGCTTCTTTTAAATTGTACGATTTTTTCAGGACAGCATTTTATATAGAAACGATAATAATAAAATTAAAATTGCAGGTGAAATTCGTGGACGCAGACTCCCCAACGTACGCGAAGAACAAACACTGTGAGTTCTGGCTGCAGGGAAACGGCGGAGGAGTATTGACATCACCGCGTCACTCTTTGCCAAGGAACAGCACCTGTTTGTACCATCTCCGCGGAGCGGGACCGACGCTCCCAAGTCCAACACCGCCCCGACCTCTGCCAAAGTTTCCGGAGCAGAGGCCAGGAACGGTATGGCGGAGGCCAGCACCGAGACCCGTGCAGCCACAGTTTCGCGTTTGGTTGTCCATCCTCAAGTTTCACGTGGGCACCAGCTTGTCCAGCGGCGACGAAGACTGCTCGACCACCCTGATAATCTGGGACGGCGAGATGATGCCGCTGTCCGAGTGCAACGACCCACTCTGGTTCGTTCAACCTCTGATTAATTGCTAGACACTCGAAACTCCGAACGCCTCTGGTGCTTGATCTTCGTGATTGCTTTAGCGAGTTTACTTTCTTGTTATGTGCATCAGAGGCTTCCGTGGTTTGGAGTTTCCAAGCTTTTTTGTGCGAGCGGAGGCGTTTAGATATTATGCGACAAATTGTGGAACCTTGTAAAGGATCGTTCCATCGTTAAATTCCTAATTTACAGGATGTTGTAAAGACTTTCTAATATTAACCCTTTGCACTCGAAGATAATTTTACTGTTTACAAACAGCAACTTTAAAATATTAATTAAAATGTTAAATGAGTACTACTAATAATTTCCACTATTGTCTATTTTACTATGTTTACACTTCACAGCAGCACTATTATAGAATTAATTAAATAATTCTTATTTCAAATTATTGTATTAAATCGAATGGTGACTGAGAGGAGCCTCACGAGCGCAAAGGGTTAAAAATATTTCAATCATAGCGATAAAGATGTTTTCTTGAAGCACATAATTCAGCACAACCCCAAGAAAAGTACTTCCAGGTCTTGGGACATAAACCTTGGCACGTTTTATAGTTCTATAGATACTCTAGAAAAGGTAGAACTTCAAAACCTTGGATCCATAAATAGAGAATGCTTGCCAAGAAAAAGTATCGAGCCTTGGGTCAAGAATTACCCTTGTTCTGTAAATAATAAATGTTGCGAGCGTTGAATTGTGCAGACTACTACTCGAAAAGCACTTGGATTCTTCCACGAACTGGCCGATAACTTTCTTAATCCGTTAAATGTTAAAAAAATGTGTGTAACAGCGAAAAAGAACACCAGCGGCACGCGGACAGGTCGGCGGAGCCCTCTCATCCTCTCGCGGCTCGTCCAGCAGGCAACACGACACTCCTCGCTCGCTACTGCAAGGACAAAGTGCCGAGGACATGCGACCACGCGATCCTGCAAAACACGGGTCGTCCCTGTTCTCTGGGAGAGAGCTTCGTTTCCAGGGGAAGCAGCCTGACCATCGAGATGCGGATGGTCGAGTCGACGGCTCTCAGGCGAGTGTAACTCGATTGCGAACGGTAGGGTCAGAGAGGGAAAAAAGCGGTTTCCGTTTCAATTACAGACCCTCTCGAACACGCTCCGCGTGCCGTTTTATTCCCGTTGTTTCACGATGAAACGCGCGTCCACTCTGCTATCGATCGACACCGCGTATTATGTTTTCTCTCGAGCAGCGATGTTACAGAGATTTTACGGGAATATTCGTGGGAAATGAGCTTCCGTTCAAGATTGTTTCCTTGTCGCGAAATACCTCTTCTAGCTATTAATCGGTTCTTTGCACATTTTTTAAGCTGTAAACGAAATTTTCTGCGACGTCTATTTGAACGATTTGTTATAAATTAGGAGTTTGAGTTATAAAAACGAAACGTGTGTATTATTCCTACGTATCTAATTTTTATATTGTATTTAAAAATGAATTTTTATATGTAAAATTATTTGGAAGAAATATTGAAAGGCAATTGGTACAAAAGCTGGTGATATTTGTTTCGGCTGAAATTCGAAAAAGAGAGATAACAGAGGCAAAGAAAAGGGTCGAACGCATAAACCAAAGGTTACGATCAGCCAATCGCTTCCGACGCGATGCTCGAACAGTTCACGAGCTTTTTCCCCGTTTCATCGAGAAAAAAATACACGTTTTTATCTGCACTCCGAACAACATCCCTGCTGCATCGAGTTCTCTTTTTTCTGGTTAAAAATCTCTTTTTCCCTTGTGTAGCCTCCTCTCGAGGCTCTTTTTCCAGCGGTTCCACTTATGAAAATCGAATAAAATCCGGTCGAAAGTTAAAGCTGAAAGCAACCACCTTCTAAAAGCTGCGGGCCATCATTGTAGCGAATTAAATCGAACGGAAACCGAAAGAATTAAAATTGAACGAACGATTCGGCGAGAAATCGCGTTTGATATTCCGGCTGGGCTCCGGTAAATTTGCAAAATCTGCTGTACCTTTTATTTCGCTCGTTCTCTCTTTCTCCGTCGCTCTTTTTTTTACTTTTTTATTGCAGGTTGGCTGTGAATATAAATTCGGACGAAATTTGCCGGTGACACCGGCCTGCTGGAATCGATACGAAACGTTACACGCGAGGAATGTGGAAGTTTTACGACGAAGGCAGAGCAATATCTGCCGCACTCGCACGTTTTCCTCCCCCTTGCTATCGCTTATTTATAAGGAACGATTTTTCCACTACGAAGGAAGCGACGGGAAAACGAACGATACTTGCGTGAAAAATAATTACATATTTTATTTGGCGAATTTATTTTTCTATCCGCTCCTTTAATATTAAAAAATTCCGCTCGAATCGATTCCTATTTAATTAACCCTCGAGCTTCTTCCTTTTCCGTGTAATCAAAAGTTTCATTCTCCTAGCTCCGTTTGCTCTTTACTTCTAATTTATCGATTCCGGTGACGATTAATAACGAAGCGACAGATATTGCTGCAGGTAGAATCGAGAGGTTTTAACGCGATATTTCAACAATTTAAATATTGTATTATCGACGGAAAATGCGGATATCCATTTTTAATTCCACTCTTAATCAAGAAATTATCTGTTGAGCGCTTAATGAAAGGGCAGGAAGGTTCGATTCATGTGGAAAGGATTAAGTAGACCGTGCTACGTGTTCCGCGTAGACTATCACGCTCGAACACGCAGTACGGGGCTTTTGAGAGAAAAAATAATGTAATGTAAATAACCCCCTTTGCCTATCGCGACGTCGTTGAACGCCGTTGGTCGACAACCTGGATTACGGAAATATGCATCGCTTCTGAAGAGCGTACGGTTTATTTATAGCGAACGGATATTTCAATTATCGACAGGAATTTTTTGTACTCTTTATCGAATCTATTTAAAGATAAATTGTACTGTATTCTCTCCGTAAATTTTACAACTGCCGACCTCGATTGTAACATTTATGGAATAGGTACTACATTCTTTGTAATGAGACGGACATAGAAAAAGACAGCAACACAAAAGACAAAGAGGGACTGAGGCAAACGTGAAAGACTCGTGCGTGTTCTGTCTTTTAAATTCAAAAATCAAAATTCTTTATTTTTGCTTTTTCGTCAATGAAACTTTGATTATCGTATTTGTCTCGTTTTTCTGATTAAAATGCTACCAAACACGGTATAATTAAAATCATAATTACTTGTGTAGCAAGCCGTTAGGAGGAATTCGTATCTCTGCCGTAAATGTAAAGTTTGCCGTAAGTGTGAAAGCCCGAAACTTTTATGGCTTGTTACATAAGTAATTACGATTGTAATCATATTGTGTTTGGTGTCATTTTAATCAGAAAAACGAGACAAATACGATAATCAAAGTTTCATTGACGAAAAAGCAAAAATAAAGAATTTTGATTTTTGAATTTAAAAGACAGAACACGCACGAGTCTTTCACGTTTGCCTCAGTCCCTCTTTGTCTTTTGTGTTGCTGTCTTTTTCTATGTCCGTCTCATTACAAAGAATGTAGTACCTATTCCATAAATGTTACAATCGAGGTCGGCAGTTGTAAAATTTACGGAGAGAATACAGTACAATTTATCTTTAAATAGATTCGATAAAGAGTACAAAAAATTCCTGTCGATAATTGAAATATCCGTTCGCTATAAATAAACCGTACGCTCTTCAGAAGCGATGCATATTTCCGTAATCCAGGTTGTCGACCAACGGCGTTCAACGACGTCGCGATAGGCAAAGGGGGTTATTTACATTACATTATTTTTTCTCTCAAAAGCCCCGTACTGCGTGTTCGAGCGTGATAGTCTACGCGGAACACGTAGCACGGTCTACTTAATCCTTTCCACATGAATCGAACCTTCCTGCCCTTTCATTAAGCGCTCAACAGATAATTTCTTGATTAAGAGTGGAATTAAAAATGGATATCCGCATTTTCCGTCGATAATACAATATTTAAATTGTTGAAATATCGCGTTAAAACCTCTCGATTCTACCTGCAGCAATATCTGTCGCTTCGTTATTAATCGTCACCGGAATCGATAAATTAGAAGTAAAGAGCAAACGGAGCTAGGAGAATGAAACTTTTGATTACACGGAAAAGGAAGAAGCTCGAGGGTTAATTAAATAGGAATCGATTCGAGCGGAATATGTTGGGTGTCGTTTTAATCAGGAAAACTAGACAAATACGACAGTAAAAGTTTCATGAAAAATAGTAAGAAATAAGAAAGTTGCAATCTTTTACTTTGTATGTGTCTCACCGATATTCGATCCTCGTCGTTTCGGCGACTGATCGTGTGTCATTCTTCACTGATTTCGAGGGGGATCCCTCCAGTAGTGGGGATAGAATTTTAACATTTATGGTAGAGATCTTTTTAACATTTACAGAGAATAGTAATTAAATATTACAAATTACTGGTAGACTTTTCGACCGCCATATTGAACGCCGCGCATGCGCACTTCGCTTCGGTTTCTCTCTAGGTTTCCTAGTGTCGTTTGTTCCTTACTCTTACGTGTCACACTCGTGTCGCGTAGAACATACTGTATTTGCGTCAGATGAGTTACTATCGTTCTCGTGTTTCAGGCCGGTCGATTTTCGAGCGCTGTACGAGTTCGTCGATCTTCATCAGGACGGCGATCCTTACGGAAATGGACCGTGCTCGAGGATCTTCTACAGCCGTAATCGGGATCATTACCCCGATCGCAGATTCCAGGCGCCTCGCGACATTTTCCTTTATGGACGTGGAGGTGCGAAAAATATGAGGTGAGAGGCACTTCCTCCGCGTTTATTCCGTCATTAGTTCGATCTCCGATACCCCGGCGACATCTTGATGGGCCGGCTTCGCGCGTTATCGAAAATTCAATTTTCCGCCGGCGAGAAATAACGAAAGAATTTTGCGATACGATCGTCATAATAAATACTAGAGATGGCTGTCCACTTCCACGAATTTCCTTCGTAGCCCGGGGATACGTTTCAGCAAGTGAATTTCATCGATTACTGTCCATCGATCCAGAGAATCGAGGAAAGTTTCCTAAGGCGGTAGTTAAGCTGGACGCGGTGCTTTATGGGGTTGTAAAGCGGACTTTACGCCTGAAGGCTTGAACAGCCCTTTCTCTCGGTAGATCGTGGAAAACGATTACACGCGACGGAAGGTTTCCTCAATAAAGGGTGGAAATGCTGGGTCGTCGTTATCGGTGACAAACGCGGGCATATTCGAACTCGGGAATACGATTCCTGGGGTGCGAAACCCTTCATCTGTTATTGTATTTTCCTACAGACATGTTCATTTCTCCTTTGTACATTCTCTTAAAAATGTTCGAACACCGCTTCAACGCCTTATACCATAATTTGGTCAGCTGCCTCAGAATTCTTACAATATTAAAACATCAAGGAAAGTTGAAATATTCTATCCATTTATTGTTATACATTGACTATGAAATTATTGTACTTGAACTCTGAATTGAAACCTGTTCAAAGTCCGAGAAAAAATGATCATGGCTGAAGGAGTGCGTCATAACTGTGTCATGTATGCGTCATGAGTGCGTCATGTGTGTTATGAATGCGTTGTGAGTGCGTTATGGGTGCGTCATAATTGTCATGTATATGCCATGGGTGCGTTGTGAATGCGTCATGGGTGCGTCATAATTGTCATGAGTGCGTTATGAGTGCGTCATAATTGTCATGAGTGCGTCATGGGTGCATCTTAACTTTCATGTATGCGTCATGTGTGTCATGTGTGTCATTGGTGCGACATGAGTGCGTCACGAAGACATGAGTCTATGATGAGTGCGTCACGAGTGCGTCATAGAGACATCATAAGTAAACCCCGAGAATTTTGCGTTAAAATTTGACAAATTCTGACCTCGTCAAAATCGCATAATCGAGTAGGGTAATCAATGCCCCGTAATCTTGCCATAATCGATCGGAAAAGCGGGTCCTTTGCGTGACCGACCGTGCATGCAGATTCGATTAAATGCCGAAAATGTAGGGCAAAACGGATTTTCCAGCTGCGTGTACCGATTCGAGGGCGAGCACGACGAAATCGTGAAGCTGAGATTCAACAAATTGCTGAACGGAAACCGAACTTGCCGCAGCGTCTCCAATTCGGACTTCAATCGATTACTATGCGTTGGCACCGATAATTTCTCCGTCAAGGTACGCAGAACACTTTACTGTAATTGTACTTTATTTCTGCTTCCGACAATTTCATTATTTCATCGGTAAAAGCGTTCGATGGATAATTAAAAAGAATTTCGAATATGAAAGTAGAAATAAAAGCCGTATAAATTGAATACTTTAATTACAATAAATCCTACAGGGAAACGAGTTGAAAAAGCAAACATAAAAAGGACTGTAAACGAACGAAACGAAAACAAAGTAAAATGCTTGAAACGTTTTAAACGTGCTTGACAAGGCGTGACAACGTGTTTAATACCAAAAATCGACGGTAACGAGCTATGAAATAAATAAAATTGTAACGGGATAGTCGACGAGCTCCCAATTTATATGTTTGATTTTTGAACAAACACAAATAATCAACCTGGTAAACATTCAAATTACCGTAACAATTTTCAACGCGTTTCCTAGCCCTTGAAAAATGAGTAACCAATAGCATCGATCCCGTAATCCGTAAACTCCCGTTTCAAACGAGCTAATAATGATTTTAATCTAAAGTTTCGGCGAAAAGAAACCGATAGTTTCTCCATTAAGGATCGTGTAATTAAAGAGACTTTTTCATCGGGACTTTATCAGAATTTCCGAGATAAAATTCCGGAACCGCGTTATCGATTTCAGGATTTACGGGGGTCACCGCATCCTATTCGAGTTTAAAGCGCAATTAGGGACGCGAATGGCCTCGAATGCGGCGTCACGTTTTGTTTGCACGGCAATCGTAATAATCCGTCGGCTAATTAATTTCTAATTGGGAATTTTCGCCAATAATCCACAGGTGCTCGATCTTCCATGGCCGAACGCTCCTCCGGTTCAACGGGACTGTCTTTGTTCGAACCGATCGCTGCCAATGAACATTAAATCCACGTCGAACATCGTCGAGTTGCATTTCACGGTGCTGTCCATGGACGCGTTGGACGACTACAATAACCTCTTCTTCGAGGGAGTCTGGGACTTCGTGAAGACCACTCCTTGCTTACAGAAGCGCAGAGTCAGAGGACCTTCCGGAGAAATTAAATACAAGGCACCGATCACCGACGAGGATGAGGTTATAACATTTTTTTGTATACAACTCGTTGAGGAGATAACCGATGGTCAGTGCGTAAACTTGCAAATATTTCAGAAAAATTGCGAGAAGCATCCCTGGTTGATCGACCCGGGACCCAACCAGTACCTGTACGTGAAGATGCACGGCACGATAATGTCGAACGGCAGCAAGTGCGCGACGAAGAACCGTATCGTGGTGCACACAGGCGGCGCGATCCACGTGTCCGTGTGTCCGAAGCCACCGGTAGAATCCCGTCACCACGTGGTGGAGGTGTTCAGCGACGGCTGGGCCGTCAGCAGCAACGCCATGATCCTCGCACCGAGCCAGGACCCAGTGAGAACCATCGTCGTGGAGTTCCTCGTGAAGGAGCCCGACACGTACACGGTCACCTGGCTAGAGCTCACCAGAAGGTAATCTGGAAGCATTTTCCCGGAAATCCCTTTCAAACGCTTCTATCTTATCTTGCTGTTTATGGTTGGCGTTTTATCTCCGCCTTCACGGTTCAGTGGTCTCGAATTAAAGAAGACCTTAAGTCCTTAATTTTACGGGATACCCAGAGCGAAATTAACTTCCAGGCCATCGGTGACTTCGTCGGCGGGCCTGCAAATGGCTCGGGACTGCGATCAGCGGTGTCCGGAGTTGGATGCTTGCATAAACGCGTCCCTATGGTGCGACGGTATCACCCACTGCCCGTCGGGCTACGACGAAGCCTTGACCCACTGTTCCATGCTACTGCAACTACCTCCCCTGCACCTGGGACTCGGTCTGCTCGCGATCCTCACGATCCTGGCCGTGATCTGCTTCGTGATCTGGCGCATCTGCAGACAGCGGGCCAACCGGTCGATATCGCAGCACAGACTGAAGAGCATCTCCTCGGAAACGGCCATCATAGACGGCAAGGAAGTGATCTGCTGACACAGCGACAGTTCTGTGCGTTACGTCGAGGTCGACCGCGTGACCACCGTGTGACGATCGCCCTTGGCCACGCTCGTTCGTCGTCGCGAATTCATCTGCCTGATATCCTCCTGAACGGGACACTCCCGACGACATTCGCTTCCACGTAACGCGCAGAACTGTTCCTCCGTAACGATGCTTCGCTCGAGACGTAGATTATAACCGACTCCGCTCGACGACTCGGACTATGTTCTTCGCCGAAAAGGTTTCCATTTTGTAGCTTCCGGTCCCTAGCACTCTCACGGATCTCTTCCGGCTTCCTCCGCGGCTTACCGCCTCTTTTGCTCCCTGGAGCAGCTTCACCCGCTAGATCCACGAGCGTTTTAGGTTTCGAAGAGTCGCCGAAATCGAATTGCTTTAAAGAGGACAATAATAAAAAAAATCCTAGGTACCTTTCGCTGGTAGTATAACGTAGCGGCAACCTCAGACGAGTCTTTCACCGCTGGCGTTTAAAACTGCAATAAATTCTTCGATTACGAAGGACGGAATCCGAGTCGTCGAGCGGGGAACAAGCTGTTAGTAGTTTGAATGGCCAAGAAGCCAGTCGACAGCACGATTTTAAGTTCACTCTCAACACCGCTCTCTTCCCTCGTGGCGAACCGCGCGGTCTGTAAAAATAATCGCGCCGGAAACCTTCGGTGAAAGAAAGCGATCGTGTGTCCGGAGTTGGATGCTTGCATAAACGCGTCCCTATGGTGCGACGGTATCACCCACTGCCCGTCGGGCTACGACGAAGCCTTGACCCACTGTTCCATGCTACTGCAACTACCTCCCCTGCACCTGGGACTCGGTCTGCTCGCGATCCTCACGATCCTGGCCGTGATCTGCTTCGTGATCTGGCGCATCTGCAGACAGCGGGCCAACCGGTCGATATCGCAGCACAGACTGAAGAGCATCTCCTCGGAAACGGCCATCATAGACGGCAAGGAAGTGATCTGCTGACACAGCGACAGTTCTGTGCGTTACGTCGAGGTCGACCGCGTGACCACCGTGTGACGATCGCCCTTGGCCACGCTCGTTCGTCGTCGCGAATTCATCTGCCTGATATCCTCCTGAACGGGACACTCCCGACGACATTCGCTTCCACGTAACGCGCAGAACTGTTCCTCCGTAACGATGCTTCGCTCGAGACGTAGATTATAACCGACTCCGCTCGACGACTCGGACTATGTTCTTCGCCGAAAAGGTTTCCATTTTGTAGCTTCCGGTCCCTAGCACTCTCACGGATCTCTTCCGGCTTCCTCCGCGGCTTACCGCCTCTTTTGCTCCCTGGAGCAGCTTCACCCGCTAGATCCACGAGCGTTTTAGGTTTCGAAGAGTCGCCGAAATCGAATTGCTTTAAAGAGGACAATAATAAAAAAAATCCTAGGTACCTTTCGCTGGTAGTATAACGTAGCGGCAACCTCAGACGAGTCTTTCACCGCTGGCGTTTAAAACTGCAATAAATTCTTCGATTACGAAGGACGGAATCCGAGTCGTCGAGCGGGGAACAAGCTGTTAGTAGTTTGAATGGCCAAGAAGCCAGTCGACAGCACGATTTTAAGTTCACTCTCAACACCGCTCTCTTCCCTCGTGGCGAACCGCGCGGTCTGTAAAAATAATCGCGCCGGAAACCTTCGGTGAAAGAAAGCGATCGTGCGTGTTCGTCATAACGGAAACACTACGATCGCAAGGATCAAACTGTTCCGGGATTTCTTGTCGACGTTTGTACGGATTATGAGTGTCGAACGTGCGGAGACAAAATCATGTTCGTTGAACGGGAACCTAACCTCACATACAACATGTACTCTACATATGCACTGTGCAGCCACAATTCTGCATCCCTTGTAACACGGTACATGTACACCATAATCTACACCTTCCATCGTACACACATGTGTACACATCGCACACACATGTGTACATATATACACATATATACAACGTGTACACTGAAATGCTATTAAGGTCATAACGAATCGTAAGGTCTACACGACGCGAACAAGGAATCCCCGAGCAAGTTTGAAAGAAAAGAAAATACTAGAGATACTTGACCAAATGTTTCAAGCGAATATCGTTTTAGGCGACTTAATGATATACTAGCGTATAAGTTTTCGACGGAACGAAAGGTAGAATCTATGGTAGCCTGAGATGATTATGTGATATAATACGAAATGCTGTTTTCCTCGGAGCTGTGCTCCGTTTAATAATTGTTACACCCGGCTAGGGTCGTCGAATCGGAATTCGATTCGGTTAGGGTCGACGCCTGACACCATGTTCATACTTGTACAGAATTATTTATCTATTTGTATCGGATAATAACGCGTTTTTAGCACGCGTTTCCGTTCGACACGTTTCAAGCTCAAACTCACCGACTATCCGAATATATCTCGAGGATAACATCGATCGTTTCATCGTACGAAATCTTAATTCTAAGCGTGAGAACGGAGACATGTTCCAAACCGCTTCACTATTAGCCACTAAGCACAGCTCGAAAGAACTTATAAATACTGTCAACCGGAAATATCATCGTCGTTTTCTCGCTGTTTTCACCGTGCACGTAACGATCATTCGGAAGAGGAACGAAAGCCAAACAGCAACGTCGAAACCGAGCCTCCATATTATACGTTGATCAAAGACAATCGTTAATATATGGATTTATTAATTGTATTCGGGTAGACCGACAGCTACGTTTATCCAAAGTTAACGTGAAATTGTGTTCGAATATTAAGACGATAAATATTAGGTTGTTGCATACAGACTTCTTATATAAACTCTGAACTTTGTGTAATTTAGACTCTGTAGTTTCTCCGAGATCCTAAGTTTAAACTTTCCCTAAGTTCTTAAACTCTCGAATCCCTCCGCTAGTTAAAAATGTTTCGAAGCGTTTCTTTCGCAACAACCTAAATAACAAAGCTGCCATACTTCATCGAACAATTACGATTAAAGTCGACAAGCACAATTTCGCGAGACAAGGTTTTCGAGATTTCCATAGGCACACGATTTCGTCCTAACGAGAAGACTTGTTATCTTTAAAACGTCTCTTATTTCGTACATTAAGGTTTATTCACGTTCGCTCGATACGAATCGGTGATTCTTTTTCTACGATTCCTCTCTTTCTCGTGCAACGAACTAATTCCCGATGTTTCTTGCGTTGCGGGGACCAAAAAAAACGCGTACGACCGCTGGAATTGGCCGTGCCAAAATACCGTCATCTCGTTCACCGTTTCTCTTCTCTCTTTAGTTGGCTCGCGTGATTCCGTTGGTCCGGCGCGATCAATACCAAATACATTTACAGAGAATCGAAGACTGACTTTAGTTTCTCGCGTTCTATCGTTGCTGTTGCTCCAGCGATTCCGTGATAACGAGATGCACGCTTCACTGCCACTTACGTTTCGCCATTACGTTTTAGTCGCGCATCGATTTCGAGTGATCGTGATAACGTCCCAGGAAAAATTAGGCAAGAAAACACTTTGATTCGTTGATTAACCGTTCTGTAACTTCCCATAATTTCTTCTTCCGTTTGTGTCAGTCAAATTCCGTACAGAACGAGTTAATCAACGTCACAGGGTTAAGGGCTGCCAATGAGAGATAATCATTTTAAATACCTCCGAAGCAAGCTTCGGATTAGACCTTCATATTCTGTATATCCGATCCCTGCATGGGAGCCGGGAGGAAAACTCGCACAAAGGTCTCCACAATTTATTGTCGACGAGCTAATGATTCTCGGTCTACACACACGATGCAACGACGAAAAGGTGAACAGCGGGAATGAGCTTACGCGAAAAATATATTCCTCTGGTTACGCATACACGGGAAGGTTTGACCAGCGTTTCAATCGATACGCAAACCGCTGGTCCAGTTGCAATTTATCGGCGAACCTTTATTGACACCGTGCATGAAAACGTGGCCCGTGTTTGGAGACACCCGCAGGGCCATCCACTCTAAACCCCTCTCTTGTTTGCACGATGCTACCATTAATCTCGTTACAACATTGTTCTCTTTTGTACCCCTTTGTAATCTCATTTTTCGATGCGTATCTTTGTTAAACCCTTTACCTATTTCTCAGTGCGTCAGAATTATTGTAACATTAATTGTAAGACAAATGTTCAAATGTCAGGGACTATGGTGATCATTGGAGGGATTGAAATTAAAGGAATCATGGAAAATGTGAGCCAGATTGTATTTCAACAGTTACAGAATATTGTGAAACAAGGATTAGCGAAATGTAACTTGAATCTCTGCGACATTGTGTACTTGGCGTAGTTATAATACCATTTATTTTGAAAGTGGTGTCATTTGCATGAATATATATTATTTTAGTTAAATCATCTAAAAGAAATTTGTATATTTAAATTACATATTGTATTACAAATCACATATTACATTATTTGTATTACAAATTATATGTCACATATTTGTATTACAAATTACATGTTACATATTTGTATTACAAATTATATATTACATATTTGTACTACAAATTATATATTACATATTTGTACTACAAATTATATATTACATATTTGTACTACAAATTATATATTACATATTTGTACTACAAATTATATATTACATATTTGTACTACAAATTATATATTACATATTTGTACTACAAATTATATTTTGTACTACAAATTATATATTAATATATTACATATTTGTATTACAAATTATATATTACATATTTGTATTACAAATTATATATTACATATTTGTATTACAAATTATATATTACATATTTGTATTACAAATTATATATTACATATTTGTATTACAAATTATATATTACATATTTGTATTACAAATTACATGTCACATATTTGTATTACAAATTATATATTACATATTTGTATTACAAATTATATATTACATATTTGTACCACAAATTACATACTACATATTTGTATAATCAAATGACAAGAATTGCTAAACTGTCAGTCTTGATTAACCTAAATTTTTGACATACATGCTAACCTTTAATTTTCTCAAAATAAATGAAACCACTTTCAAAATAAACGATGCATATGAGCTAGGTAGGGACCAGGGGCCTTCCCCGTGTCAGGATGTAACAAATTTTAAGTTAACACTGTTGTAACAAGATGGCCCCCGCGGGTGTAGTGTAAATAGATAGCAAAATCGTCGCGAACGCGGTTGTACATAAACGTAATACACACACGTACGAATTTTAACTAATTCTAGATCACGATCTAAGCAGGTAAACTATGTAGACGATTAGACGTTAATTACAATGTAAACCATATCCAGCGCGTTGGAATTCAGAGACGATTCGTTCTCGCAGCTTACTGGAACCGTTCTCCCTATTGTTTCGCCTCGTAACCGCTAGAATACTCGAAAATCAAAAGATTCCAGAAGTCTGCGAGAAACACAGACGAAGATTTCAGGCGAATCGACAAAATTCGCGCGGTTTCTGTACATGTAAGTGTTGAACCGAAAACCGAGAAACCGCACAAGTATTCATTTCTCGACAAACTATTACATGTAAAAAGAAAACGAATATAGGGAAAGGAGTTGTAAACTCGTCGAACTGATTTGTACAGCGTTTAAGGCCTGTCCACGATAATCCTTGTGTTACTCATCAATATTACTCGTCTGGAAAGGAAAAATGTAGTAGATAAAGTGCGAATAATCATATCGGTGTCAATGTTTTAGAACATGAATTTGTAGTACAAAGTGAGGAACAGCTGTATGGTAATTCTGACTTGTAACATAAGCTGTTTCCTTCCTTCTGTACTGGGAATTTGTACATCAAAAAAATTGACATGTAGTTAATAATTGTTACTATAGAAATTGGATGGGTTAACAATTTGGATGAACGGTGGACTGGCCTGAGTCACAGGACTTGAGTTCTGAACACTTCTTGAAGACTGCCGAATACTGTTGACGTAACTGGAATTGTTGGGGTGGACTTAGTATACTTAGGGATGTATACCTAGTAGTAATAGCAACATATGAGCACATTGTTGAAAAATTACAGCTTCAAATTTGAATATTAGGGCTTTTGGTTGTATAACAATTTGTAGATTCAGAGATTTGAAACGCAGAGATCTGAAAAATTGATATTGTATAAAGTTAGGAGTCTCAAATTTATAAATCTGAGCTGATGAGCTGATGAAAATGTTTGAAATGGTATCGTACACCACTTGTATGTGGAATGATAGTTTAATTTTGTAGTATTGTGTTCTTTGCTCCACTCTAACAGTAACCCAGTTACGCCAATGGCAAAATAATTATTTGAAACGCTTCGGCATCCGCAATAATCGATCAAATAAGCGTTAAAATTACTTTCTCCTTTCACGTTAAATTGTATCAGCAGATAATGGCACAGCTTGTATCGTTTTTGCGTATTTTTAAAATTCGATAGGATACCGACCGTCGGTAATTTAGACAGTTCTAAAACTGCGTTTCATTTTCTGTTTCCAAGTATACTCATAGATCATAGACACCGATTTGTTAAAATTTTCCGAAGACGATACCGAAATTTCCTCGATTCCGACGCTGTTATCGAACAGAGAAAATGTCGACCGAAATATAAATGTGAAAGGATTGTATAAACAGAATATCCGAGTGAGCGAAATTATGAACAGATCCGACAATAACATACGAACGCATGTATACAACATTTATGCGCATGCGCCGTGCACCGCATATATATATGAAAGCGAAATGTTGAGTAGCAACGAGTATAGTTGTATCTCTCAGGCCGACGTATGTAAAAAAAATGATTCGGTTGTGAAATCTGTCGAAGGATTAGGGCAACAATAAATATTCTGCATAATATCACTGACAGTAACGGTGGACATAGTTAAACGTTATTTAACGGAGAAACATATAATTATTAATATGTATGTAAAAGTTGAGGTAACAGAATAATGACAACATGTTGACTGATGACGTTCGACCTGAAAGATACTGTTATGTATCGATTAAAATCAATAGAGGATGGATCACCGTCAGCCGCAAACGTTTGAACAGAACCTCCAAAAAACATGCTCACACAACATGCATATAGTTACTAATTATACCATTATTGATTACCGATTCGAGTATCGAGTATGCGACATTTTTAATAAATTATTTTGAAGATTGATTCGATGGTTTATTTATTTCATGTTCCTATCTACTCCTTAATAGTTCATTTATTAGATTTATTCATAGCGGTTCATGGACCTAAGTCTAGCTCTGCAGGTAAGTGCATGTTGCATTTTATGGACTATAGAGAATGCGTCTCTATATTTAAAATTAGTTAATAGATTAAAACTTCAAAAATAACTGATTTATTGATATTGATTTTGAAATGCGTGTTGCTGAATTTAAATTTGATTAAGGAATGAATAGCGAACGTTTTTCTTTTTAAAATATACAATTGAACAATAAAATTGAATGTCAAATATAAATAGAAATCTTCTTTATCGATGGCTTGAAAATGAAATTCTTCTTGATCGACGATGACTCTGATGATCACCACAGGACGTAAAAAAGTATAGCCATCTAGCGGTGAAAGGTAGAAACTAATGGAACTAATTTCGATAATAAAATTTTCTATTTACCGATATTTGTAATTTAACATTATTAAAAAGCTTAGAAATTAATTAATTCTACATTTCGAAGTGTATTACGGTCGTTTCTGTTGAAAAAGTCAGTATGTAATACATATGTATGGAATCGGTGGGTCAATTCGGAAAAGTACTACTAGCGCCATCTAGCGGTAGGAATCAGGAACTATTTTTCGAGTAACAGGAGCGCAGAAAAGTAAAAGAGGTATGCGGAGTAAGAGGTATCTCCCGCGCAAACCAGTGCGCATGCGCGGCAGCAGATGTACCGCGCAGCGGCGCGCATGCGCAGTAGCGGCGTCACCTTATATATACGATAATTATATATGCAAAAAACGTTAATTACTCATTTCCTGGGCATAATTTATGAACTTTTATGATTAGAGAATGTTCTGTGATCCTTTAGCTACTTTCCCATATACTGTTTGTTCAGATTTATGTTGAGAGTAATTAGTTATTAATGATTTTTGTGCCACATGTCGGCACGGTGCGCGGTATACACGCGCTAATTAAAATCGTTAATTCCACTTTTTCTAGGCATAATTTATAAACTTTTATGATTGAAGAATAAAGAGTGATCCCTTAGCAACTTTCTCATATCATATTTGTTCACATTATTGCTTTCAGTAATTAGTTATTAATTAATTATGCAACCGAAGTCGGCGCGTCATATGAGCTAATACAAAATAATTAATTACGCGTTTTCTAATGATATTTTATGCACTTTTATGATTGAAGAATGTTCAATAATTGCATAGCTAATTTCTCACGTCGAATTTGTTCAGATTTTTGTTGTAATTAATTAGTTATTAACACTCCATTACAACTTCAATAGTAGTACATTATATTAATAAATAATCTGAACAAATATGGTGTAGGAAATTAGCTAAGGAATGACTGAGCATTAATCAATCATAAAAGTGCATAAAAAGTAATTAGAAAACGTGTAATTAATTATTCTAAATGAGCTCATATGACGCGCCAACGTCTGCTGCATAATTAATTAATAACTAGTTACTAGCAGCAATAATCTGAGCAAATATGATATGAGAAAGTAGCTAAGGCATCACTCTTCATTCTTTAATCATAAAAGTGCATAAATTATGCTCAGGAAATGTGTAATTAATAATTTTAATTAGCGCATGTATACCGTAGATTTTAATTAGCACATTTACACCGCGTGACACGCCGACATGCGGTACAAAAATCATTAATAACTAATTACTGCGACTACAAATCTGAACAAATAGGATACGAGAAAGCAGCTAAGGAATCACTGAACATTCTTCAATCATAAAAGTTCATAAATTGTGCCCAGAAAATGAGTAATTAACGTTTTTTGCGTATATAATTATCGTATGTATAAGGTGACACCGCTACTGCGCATGCGCACCGCTGCGCGGGACACCTGCTGCTGCGCATGCGCGCTGGTTTGCGCGGGAGATACCTCTTACTCCGCATACCTCTTTTACTTTTCTGCGCTCCTGTTACTCGAAAAATAGTTCCTGGTTCCTGCCGCTAGATGGCGCTAGTAGTACTTTTCCGAATCGACCCATCGATTCGATTCCATACTTATGTACTAAATATCGACTTTTTTAACTGAAGTGACTACAATACGCTCGGAAATGCAGAATTAATTAATTTTGAAGCATTTTAATGATGTTAAATTAGAAATATCGGTAAATAGAAAATTTTATTATTGAAATTAGCTTCATTAATTTTCATTTTTTACTACTAGATGGCAATACTTTTTTAGGTCCATCAAATACTGTATCAAAAATTTTCGAGTACAAAGCTCTGATTGTCTAATAATGATATTTAATTGGCTCTGCTCAACTTGTAGAATAATTTGTAAGTACCTATACAGTCTAAAAATATTTTATTTTTCAAAGAAACGTAATTTTCTTATTCGGTAGTTCCAGGTTTAGCTGCCAGATAGTGCTACGGATACCATTTCCATATTCCGCACGCAAAAATTTAAATTTATGATGTACGTATGAATTATAATGAAAATCCTTATGTTAACAAATTTCTTTTTCAGGAAAAATGGCATTTTACATCATGGGACAAACAATATAACAGCAAGAGTGCTCCAACGTACTCCTCATTTATTCTGTTACATAACTGTTACATATTAAAGAAAGGATCACTGGGTATATGCGTTTGACGTTGCACAACGTAGTAGAACCAATTTGAGTCACATGCACACTTAAATTTACAATGGACATTTAATAATTATAAGGGTAACAAGATTTATGCTATCTACAAAAGTATGAACTGATATATGGCACACATTGTGAAAACCAAACATAACGCATAGACTATGAATCATTGCAGTTTCTTTTTTTTAGGAAGGTCGCAAATTGCTTTTTCCTCTTCAACATTCGCTGAAACATCATAGGGTTTTTCTCGGTATGCTGTGACGTCAGTGAAACTGTAGATTAATTTCTGTTCTTCCCCCACTATAATACCGTTATATGTAATGTACATTCTTTTAAAACCACATAACGACTTTGACTTCAAACGCAGACGCAGTACGTCACAGAACCAAAAGCAGTTGCGATACACGTCATAGAAACAAAGTTACAAATATCTATAGTATCAAATTCTTGGAAACCTAGGTGAGCTCTTTAAACCCATCTATAACGTACACAGTCTTAATATAAGGCTTGATCCAACCAGTTTTGTTTGCTATTGTTTCGTAACAAGTGTACAAGCATACGGTTTACTGTTATCATTATTTGGGCGTCTCTTATTCGCTTCCTGTGACTGTTTGTTCAGATGTAGGAGCGCTAAAGCATTTTGCAATTGAAAACACGATTGCTTTTTTTAGTAGATGATTAAAGGAATCTTTTTTTATTGCAGATTATTTGTGTCAAGCTACTTTTTCAAGAGAAACGTGCAACATGAGTTACGGTTATCAAGTAAGTACAAGTATTTATTTATATCTATTGTATTTTGCCGTGTTTGTGATGAAACATTTGCAAATTTGCGCTTGGTGTGTAAGGGACCACCGGTGATTCAATTTCCTGGACATGTACGACCACCAACGTCATTTGGAGCTCCACCTGGTACACCTTCTGCCCCTGGTGCTGCTTCTGCTCCACCTTATCCTCAAAGTGGCAACATAGGTTTCTCTAATGCTCCACCCGTGTCTTTTGGAATGCCACAGCCCTATAGTCCTTATCCTTCCAGCCCTTATCCCCCACAATCTAATCACCCTGTACCTCAGCAGTGTCCTTATCCAGCACCAGGAGGTTCTCCCTTATATGCACCTGAGCCAAACCGTCAACCGTCCTCTCCTTATCAACCTAATACTTCTTATCCACCTCAACCAATGCAGCAACCATATCCTAGTGAACCTTCTGGGTATCCACAGCAGCCAAATTATAATTTGTATCCAAACCTTCAATCTGCACCAGAAGCACGAGAATGTCGTGGTGCAGTTTCTTCATATCCACCTCAGCCTAATGCTTATTCAAATAATTCAAATCCTTACCAAAGCGGGAGATATTCCGGGGGGCAGGTTAATCAATCTGATTCTCCACATAGAGGTAAATCGCCTTCTCAGCGATATAGCTCACCCCGAAAAGATCAATTTACACCAAAGGTGAGATTAAGAAAGTACACATAAAATAACATCAAATTGTGCAACTTTTAGTTATCATTGTTTTATTATTGTAAATGATTTTGTGCTGAATTTTATATTGCTTTCTGTTCTAGTTGTCCCCTACTGTTGTACCGTACAGTGATTTCGATGCCAGGGCAGATGCAGAAGCCTTAAGAAAGGCAATGAAAGGTTTTGGTACAGATGAAAAAACGATTATTAACGTGCTCGCTAATCGCAGCAACTTACAACGCCAAGAAATTGCTGTTCAGTTTAAAACTTTATATGGAAAGGACTTAATAAAAGATCTGAAATCCGAATTGTCGGGCAACTTTGAAAAATTAGTTCTTGCTATGATGATGCCATTGCCGCAATACTATGCCAAAGAGCTGCATGATGCAATGTCTGGTATTGGAACCGACGAATGCGTACTTATCGAAGTACTGTGTACCATGTCTAACCATGAGATCCGTGTAATTAAGCAAGCTTACGAAGCAAGTAAGTTTCAATGTTATACATAGCATCATACATTTTATATTAACATGTTCAATTTTTTCAGTGTACGGAAGATCGTTGGAAGACGACCTGAGAGACGATACTTCCGGCAATTTCAAACGATTAATGGTATCGTTATGTTGTGCCAACAGAGATGAGTCATTCGATGTAGACCCTGCAGCCGCATTAGAAGATGCCAAAGAACTTCTCAGAGCCGGTACGTAATGTATTTATATATATAGCAAGGCTTCCTAAGCTTACATATTAATTTTCTTGTAGGCGAACTTCGTTTTGGTACTGATGAATCAATATTCAATGCAGTTCTTGTTCAAAGAAATGTTCCACAGTTGAAGCAAATATTCCACGAATACGAAAACATAACCGGCCACACAATTGAGGATGCCATCGAGAACGAGTTCTCAGGAGATATTAAGAAAGGTCTTCTTGCAATTGGTAATTATTATATTTTTAATGTTTATCATAATTTCTCTTTGACTTGTACTAATTATTGTAAATTAATTTTGGTAGTAAAATGCGTGAAGAACAGAGCTGCCTTCTTTGCCGAACAACTGTATAAGAGTATGAAGGGTATGGGTACAGATGATGCTCGTTTAATTAGACTGGTTGTCACACGTTCTGAGATAGATATGGGAGAGATTAGAGAAGTATTCAGACATCAGTATGGAGAATCATTAGAAGACTTCATATCGGTTAGTATAGCCCATAAAAATATTTGTGGAGAAAGTGAACGTTGAATCTAATCTTGCTTTTTTCTAGGGTGATTGTTCCGGTCATTATAAGAAATGTCTTTTGGCTCTGGTTTCTTAAATGTTTAACTCAAGCGTCAATTTCGTCTCGCATTTAAATGTACAATTTATCAAGTATTAATATTTTTATGGTTATCAATTATACACTTGATAACTTCTAATGCGTTGTATAAGATAATCTCGCCAAGAAAGACAGTGTTCCTACAAGTTGTTTGTGCAAATATTTATATCTTTGAAGCTTTACATGTTTTGCATTGAATCTCAGATATAATTCACGAAAGCCTATCGTATCTATACAATAGCTTAAAGGATTATAAAATGACGAATTGTTAAAAATGATCAAACATATTCTTATATATATCTTTTTTACTTTATATAAAAACTATACATGTACACATTATTGTGTTATATACATATATTTTATGGACAAAGATGAAATATTACCGTAGTGGGTATTGTAAATGGTGAAAATAAAACTATATCTTTTACTGTTAACCAATGACTCGTTTATTTTTCCCATTTCCCTAAAATAAGCGAAGCAAAAATAATTCATTTGAATTTTCCTGGTGCGATAACAACGCCACCATAGCTTTACTGATATACAAAATACAAATAGATGCAATCGAGAGTATATACGCGCCATAATGCGCGTGTGGATGGTGATAGGTGGTGTTATGTTTTGCACAATTTCTTTGATAACAAGTATTTTAAATTATTGACATAATAATTAAATGAAAATGGATAACGACAAAAGTACTATGCTTGCAGTTTTGCAACTGCTTAGAAAATATAATTTGAAGGTACTTTGCAACTAATTTAACTGTCAAATGTTTCCTAACCTAAAACTTGTATATAAACATTCAATTTTTCATGAAAGTTAATTGATTGTTTGTATATTTTTATACCAAATATGATTATGCAATGTATATGGTTAATATTATGGTAATTACATATGCATTATTTTAATAGGGAACGGAAGAATTGTTCAAAAAGGAAGCAAATTTGACTGATATATCTGCAGACGATGCCCAACAGACTGATTCTGAAGTTAACAGTGTACTTTCTGCATATAAAAGTGAAGGAGATCCTGCTCTATATGAGAAAGCATATAGTGAACTAAAAAAATTTGTAGAAGGTTCTTTGGATATATACAAAGTAAGTTATCATGTATATATATTAGATAGAACGTATTCAAAATTGAGAAATAATCTATGATTAATTAACAGCATGAGTTGGGTACAATTTTATATCCAGTTTTGGTACATATGTACCTTGAATTGGTTTACAATAATCATTCTGAAGAGGCTAAACAATTATTAGAAAAATTTGGTGGAAATCTAGAGGAGTATTACCAAAATGATTTGAAAAGACTGTCAAATGTAACAAAACGTGAACAAATGGCTGGAAATGAGTTAACAGATACTTTCAAGTATGTATTATCCAAGTTTTTGTATAAACAATTATAATATTTTATACTACAAATTCTATAAAACACTTTATAGGTCTAATCAGTTTATAATCAGAATGTCAAGAGACACTCTTTCAATATTGAAAAGACATTTGCAAGAAAAGAAACATAGTGTATTACTAAATATCATTCAAGAACATTTATATTTTGATATGTATGAGGGTGTAGCAAGGAACAAACAACAAATTGATGCTACATCTGGTGCAGTAGTTGGAGAAGCAACAAGACAAGGTTACTACAGAATTGGACAGAAGTTTTAGATTTACTATTAATAAAGATTTGTATAGAATACAATTTTTATTTCAGATAATAAAGCCAAAGTATATTATGGACTTTTAAAAGAACCCGACATTCAGTGTATGCCTCCAACTGAGGAAGAGGAGGACGATACAGGTGGTGCAGATGGGGATAAACCAAAAAAGAAGAAAGCTAAGAAGGACCCCCTATTTTCTAAGAAAACTAAATCAGATCCAAATGCACCTCCGGTTGGTAGAATGCCACTACCAAACTTGTAAGGAAATAGTATTAATAAATATATGATGAATCCATATGTAGCAAAAGAAAATGTATTTAATTATGTACAGAAAAGATGCGGATAAGTTGGAAAAAGTAAAAGCGCTTAGAGAAGCATCGAAACGCGTTATACTCGGCCCAGACACTTTACCATCTATATGCTTTTATACGCTCTTGAACACGGTTCATACGTAAGTTCGCACCGAGATTGTTTTTGTCAATTTAAGATTATGCTTACATCTAATATGAAACATAGTGTGACAGCGGCTGAAGTAGCAGAAGATTCGAGTTTACTAGCTATTGGATTCAGTGATTCTTGTATAAAGGTATGGAGCTTAGTTCCGCAAAAATTGAGACTAATGAAAACAGGGGAACAGTTACAAGACATTGACAGAGAAGCAGGTAATATTCATTGACCACAAGATTTTCATTATTGTTTTCATTATTTATATTTATGATGATGTTACAGATGATGTACTGGTGAGAATGATGGATGATCGTACAGCAGAAACATCTAGACCTTTGTTTGGCCACAATGGTCCTGTGTACAGTTTGTCATTTAGTCCAGATAGGAACCTACTTCTTTCATCCTCAGAAGATAGTACAGGTATGACATTTGATCACATATTTGTAACTATACTGAATCACTGAATAATGCAATGTATTACAGTAAGGTTGTGGTCTTTGCACACGTGGACTTGTGTGGTGTGCTACAAGGGACATTTGTTCCCAGTATGGTGCGTTCGATTTTCACCTCACGGTTATTATTTTGCCACCTCCTCTCATGATAAAACTGCCAGATTATGGGCAACTGATTCTCATCAACCTCTTCGAATATTTGCTGGTCACTATTCGGACGTAGATGTAAGTTCACTTTAATTGCTCGTTTATGTGCATGCAGTGAACAATTATAAATTTTTCAGGTAGTACAGTTTCATCCAAATTCGAATTACGTAGCGACCGGTTCCAGCGATATGACAGTAAGATTATGGGACTGCGTAACTGGCAGCCAAGTCAGATTAATGACAGGACACAAAGCTCCGATTTATTCTCTTGCTTTTTCCGCAGAGGGTCGCTTTTTAGCGTCGGCTGGGGCCGATCACCGCGTTTTAGTTTGGGATTTGGCACATGGTCACCTTGTTGCCGCCTTGTCGAGTCATTCCGGTACTATTCATTGTTTATCGTTTAGCAGAGATGGAAATATATTAGTATCCGGTAAGTACTGTTGTATGATTATACTCTTTGAAGCAGAACTATCATACTGAATAATATATAACTTTAGGCTCGTTAGACTCTACTATCAAGTTATGGGATTTCACGAAACTCGCTGAAGAAATGAGCTTAGAAGACGTGAACGTGTCGCATAACCCAGATGTAAAAACGAATGCGGAGGCCTATCTCCTTAGAACTTTTGCGACCAAAAGTACTCCAGTTATGACGCTACACTTTTCACGAAGAAATTTACTGTTAGGCGTTGGAATGTTCGAATCGATCTAGCAGACCTAGTCAATTCCCATTATCGACTTTTAAGGATAAGGTACGATGTGGCATTGATTCGCTATTATTGTAATATAACGTTTGTTAATACACTTTTTCACATTGATCATTTGACGTACTTAAATTATACCCAACCATGAAACCTATTTAGCAAAACTACTTACTTTCCATTATATTTTCATGAACTACCTCATAAAACAATTGCAATGCCATGCAGAAGAACTACAAATTTGTTAAAATGTAAAGATGAAACGTTTTGAATAGATTAAGATCAACAATAATCGACAGTGAGCGTTTCATTTGCAAGAAGATATTTATAACTGACCGACATCGCTGTTCAAACGCAGATCTCTAAAAAAAAAAAGCCTGAATACTAAAATAAAGTAAATAAGACTGAGGGCATAAACTGAATGTGCTCGTTAGTTCGAAGGTCGGCCGAGGAAGGTTTGAATAACGAAATTTGAGCTTTCTGAAAGGGAACGTTTTCCATTGCAGTTGATTGTATGATACTAGGTCGTTGCGTTCGAATACGTCCAGATCCTTAAAATGCAAAGGCACACCTTGCATTCATATGACGTCTACGATCGTACAACTTAAGCTTACTTTTGAAAGGAAGTACTGAAGGGGAAGACATGCAACTGCATTTGACCACATATCCTACATGAGATGAGTTAGGCTAGGTTTTATGATTTTTTTAGGCTCTTGAGTTCTCTCAAAACCTTGACTGTTCAATAGAGTAGTACAATATTTTCATGTAGTTAATAATAGGACAAGGGAATTGCATATAATAAACACATGTTTCACGCGAGAAATTTATTTCCGATTGTTGATACGCTTACTTCTATCACAGCATACAGACGTAAGATATACGCGCTTTTTTTTTACCATACGTGTGTGTACGTGGTATGTATGTGGTAATATTCTCTCAGCATACGTGTCTCCGCGTGTGCGTACGTGAAATGATGGCTTTTTTTTAGTAATTTAACACTTTCGTAATAGGGTTACAATGTATGCGTTGTCATTTCCGCCCTCTCTTTCTTCTCTTCGTCGCATTCGTTTAAACGATAATCAACTATACATCGATCTCTACATTCCCAGTCAAGCCTCGCGCATCGATATCAAACCTAGGTTACATGTGTGATTTAACTATGTGTTATATCATCTTCATTAATGTATGTACTTATGAAATCTGGATAGGTTAGTTCTTCGCGAATTAACGCGGAAGTATAGGTTTACCTGGGGCTTCGTGAAATTTAAAACTGACCCGAAAGGAATTGTATCGAACGATCTTTTAACTTCTCAGGGTGAACTATACTTCCGCGTTAACGGATTAATGGTGGCTGCGTATTTCTTACAAAAAACGATGGTATCGACGGATCGACGCAGATTACACCGATCATAATAAAAACGATCCACAAGGATTCGGTGATAATGCGTTGGTTGATTTTGGTCGTGATCCTTAGAATAAATTGCATATGAATATCGTTTAAACACGACAATTATAAAATTATAGCGTAAAACGGATTTAAAAAATGATCAATATCGGTCGAAATAATTCTCTTCATTTTTTTGCTTTTTCAACTTTTTAAAAATGTCTCCCTTTATGTATATGATCAAGTTTTCTTTCTTTTTCCAGTACATCACAGCGTGTTTCGTTTTTCCCCCGATGTTCACATGCGATTTATGTAATATCGTTTATAGGACTTTGTACTAGGACCGTCATTTCTTTTCTTCATCCCGCCAATTCTATTCTGCGTCGTTTCTCGTCGTGGACGTTTGTGGCACTCGTTCGGCAACCGACCGTAATAAAAATTCTCTCCCATTGCAAATTACAAGTTTTCCTACTTCGTTTTTAAAAGCATATACTCGTACGTATTTTGCATTTCTTCTCTTCCCTTAGTTCCTATATAGTTCTTTCACGCTCTGTATGCTTCCAGTTCTCACGCGTTGCTTTTAAACCTAAAAAAACCGTGTGTTCCTAGAGCTACTTGATACCGCGATTTTATCATGAGAACCATATACACGAGTGTTCGAACAGCGTGAACGCCTTTCATCGATTTCGTCCCCCTTCACGATCCATCGTCCGACTCGAAAATTTAGTAAAATCCGAAACCTCAAATCATAGTCGCAATTATTTCAACTCAAACGATGGTTCGACAAAGGGTAAATCGTTGTCGAGGATTCGAAAGAACTCGGTACCCGTTCGTCCGTTAAATGCCTTCAAATTGGTCTACGGAATTTAATACGATTATTGCGTACATATTTTCATGTGTATGCGCACCACCAAGTGGGGGAACATTCAGTCGACGGTTCGTCGCCTGTTTTCCTTTTTTCTCTCCACGGGGGAAATTAAAGAGGCCAGCGAGGTAGGCGTATGTTAAAAATCCTGTATATTCACACGGTGGTCTCGATATTGGCGATGGCGTATTGTCAACAAATACTATCCTTCCCGTAATTCTCCAGATACATCTCCTGCGGCGTGGCGAGGTTATAACGTTCGCTTAACCGGCTTCCGGTGAGACCGTTATTGTGATGGGTGTGATTCACGTGGAGATGGTTCACGTTCAGAGCGACGTTCTTTTTTTTCTTGCGAGCTTTGTGTCGGTAGAGGCAGTACTTGAGGCAGCCAGTAGCGAGTAGGAGGATCAAAAATATACCAAGAGCGCCAGCGCCTACGGCCACGTAGAGCAACGTCACGCCGAACCGATAAGAACAGTTGGCTTCCTCTTCGTCAAAACCCGAAGGACAGTGACGTATGCCGTCGCACCATAAAACTGAGCTGATACACGCTTGAATTTCTGGACATCTAGAAAACAAATTCATCGTTACATTGTCATCCGAAGCTAAAGAAATTGCTCCAATTACCTGTAAAGACAGTCCTCGTGGGGCAGTATCGTGAAGACATTTTGTCCGATGCTTGGACTAGGAGATCTCTTAGAGATGGCCATCCACGTAACAGCGTAGAATCCAGGCTCCCTCTGAAGGAATTCCACGACGAAGCTTCTGGAATGCTGTGCCATTGCCACTGAAACGTTGATAGCGCTGTAGTTCCAGCCACCGGAGAAAAAGTCCACCGTTCTAGTGGTGTCAACGCCACCCTCGGGACAAATTACGCTGCGGTCCCTCGTGTTGGCCGCCGAGTAAACAACGATACGGTTCGACGTGGTGCAATCCTCGACGTTGTCCAAAGTAATACTGTACCCGGTAGTCCTTAAGTACAGATAGTTGATCCTCGCGTCTTCGGGCTCGATCAGCCAGGGCTCGTTCACGCACTGGGTCGCAGTTAAGTCCTCCGTATTAGTCAAGATCTCCTCTACTGCGGCCACACCGGGAATTACTCGTGGAAGAGGACTTCTGAGGGAAATTTCACCACTGGTCCCGCGTAACCGACGTTCCTCGAGTTTCGTCGAGCAGCCTTGCTCGCTCGTTTCCGCTCCTAACGCGACGAAACGGTACTCTCCCTCGAAGAAGAAGTCCTTGTAGTCCTGAGTGACGTTCATCAGCGTTACGGTGAACCGAACTTCGACCACGTTGGAAGTCAACGTCCTCAGCAAGATTCTGTCGCTTATGTTGGAACACAGGCAGTCGCGGACCTAGACACAAACGTTTGGATCAGATTCAGTTAGATTAATCAGTGATCGAATGTTACAAAAACAGACCAGTTCGACTCCTTGCCAGGGATACTCGGCAACGATGAGCTCCGCGGTGCCTATCTTCAGGGAGTCTATAACCCGTCGGTCGCAGGTCCACCGATTAACCAACGGATCTACGTACGAGGAACATCCTCTGTCTCCGAACGAGGCTCTCGTTATAGACAGTTCTATTCTGTGATCCGGTTCGGCCTCGAAACGATACACACAGCTAACGTTTTGCGCACCACCGCGTCCATAGAAGAATACACTTTTCGGCGACGCGAATTTGCCTACCTTGGCGGACGAGAGAGAGGAAGAGGATAAAGAGGACGTGGAAGACGTGGATGTTGTCGACGCGGGACCGAACACGTGGTTACATGAAGCCGACTCGTGCACGAACTCGTATCGCAGTACAAAGCTTATCGGATAAAGTGCACTTCCTTGACGTAGAATATGTTCCAGGGTGAGGTCTCTGCCGCTGGACACGTAGCTCTCCGCGAGACTACAGGGCCGAGCGTGACGACTTCCGTTTCGCAGTAGACTGTGGTCGCATAGGCGGGGAGTATCATCCTTGCAGAACTGCCCCATCAGTGTGATATTCTGTGGAATATTAAACCGATGGAAAATCTTGCTGACAAGTGACTTAAAGATCGTACCTTACGCACGGGAACTAATTTATCTATCGTGTGATCGCCGTCCCATATGAGAAGCTTCGCGTTACAGTCCGAAGTAACGTCGATGCTCGAGGCGGCGTCAGCACTGGCAGCATAGTACTTGATGAAGGACAGCCAGACGATCTCGTTCATCTTGCCTTGGAAGTGGTAGCGACAGGTCGTGTTCGGAGGCAAGGAATGCTTAGGATTCTCCACGACTCCCGATAAACTTTCGTCGCTGGATATATAAAAGTCGCAGTTGCTGTTCTCCTTCACGAAACTTCTGGATTTCTCGTCCACGAAGAGCACCTGTTAACCAAGATTAATTGTTACAATTTATTTCAAAGTAATTTGTAGACTGAAATCCATACCTGAACCTCGAGCTCGAAGCCCGGTAGGAACGACAGAGGAACCGGATGAAAAAGATTGTCGTAAGGGGACGTGTGAAACTCAAGGAGCATCGTGTTGTGACTGCTAACGATATCTGGCACGGCATCTCCTCCGCAAAGTCTAACCAATACCTTGTCGGAAGTCGAGCCACCGTCGTACACGGTCAAGTAATCCTGCACCACGTTGCATTGATCCCAGACTCTGCCGGATAAATTAATCCCGTTTAATTAGAACAGAATCAAGCGTGCATAGCAAAATCCACCGCAATGGTACCTCAATATCCTCTGGCTGCCATCGTACTTTACGTCCTGATATTTGATGTGTATTTTATGACTGTTGCGTTGACTCACAGCCAGCAATGCTCGATGTCCAGGTGGTGCTCGATTCTGCTCTACGCGATAATAGCAGGTGACGTTTCTAGGATAAACACCGGGATAATTCGGCGATTGCAGTCGGCAAGCTCTAACGTCGCACTTGGTCAGAACGCGATCGCAGTAAGTGCCGTTCACCAGTTCTCCCCGCCAGGTAGACATGCTGCTATTCCCGTATCTGAGGTGAGCCTCGCTACGTCTCAGGAACTTGTACGATAATTTGAAATCGAAGTTGTAGCCGATACCCTGTAGACAATGTTAAAATGTTAACCAGTAGTAGTTTCTTTAATTTGTCAGCCTCGTCACCGGAGGCCGCAGGTGACAACGGAAAGATTTCGGACACTCGGTTTAATTTAACTCTGCCGAGGAGATTCACCTGCTCGGACAGAAGCAGCAAATACAGCGTCAAATTGATGGAAGGTGTTTCGCTGTAGTAAACGGTATATCCCCAGGCGCTACCACACCATTGCCCCCCAGTCGCTGGACGACCCTCCTCACGGATGGTCATGTAACCATCCGGACATCCTGTAGATGTGAACGACTGAAATCGTCCCACGGTGAACGTATCGAATGTTAACTGCAATTTGACGCGTTTCAACGATTACATTATTCGTTTCATTCACACGGAATTGATACAAAGTTACTACAGTACAAAAGCGTAAAAAGATCTTCAAAAAGACTAAACGCTATTTCAGAATTACTTTCGACTCGACAAAACAAGATAGTGTACATTGCGTTCACAGAAAAACAAGCATAAAACGAGATGGAAGGAAAACATATCAAAAAGGCAAACACTGAAATAAACAAACTTACAAAAACAATTTCGAGAGACAATCTATTTTCGCTAAAACATCACACGTGCACGTATGTATGTGTGTATCCTAGCAGACAAACAAATTATTATCCGCCACTAGCGACAGTCTCCATTTACTGCTCGACGGGTCAGCACTTATTTTTCTTGTCTCGCACCTGAACTAGGTCCCCTAGATCAGATCCGGCGGCGGTGAAGTTCAGATGACACAAGAATGGCAGTCGATCCTCCCTTGGCCGGCGGACTTCCACCCTGTAGGTTCGGCCAACGTCGCCGTACAAGGTTCTGTTACACGCTGCAAGACATAGAGTGAATGAAAAGTCTAGTAAGATAACTAGTATACTAGTATACATAGTACTTTCGCATCTAACTGAATATTACAGAGATTAATGAATATTGTTTCAGAGATGATCTATTACCCTATCTTACTCTAGGATCAACCATGTCATAAGTACATTGATTTGCGGATTAATTTAGATCCCATAACTGCGTCTTGACACGAAGACTTACGGGTGCAATATCTAGGCTCATCGGACTTGTCACCACAGTCGTCTTCGCCATCGCAGTACTTGTCCTGCGCGACGCAGTTGCCGGTGCCGCACAGATACTCTGATGGCCTGCAAAAGTACAGAACATGCGATATCTCCTCTTTCTTTTTCTCTCGATATTGGGAGTACCTGCAGGTGGGCACATTCTCCAGACTTGTCGTGGTTGCGATCGACGAGGACTCGGACGTCAGACTCGGATAGGCCGGAAAGGCGGGATATCCGGAATAGTCGGAGGAGATCCCGGGATGGTAACTAGCGGAGCCAGCCTCGATCGAGGCCGTGATCGCGGCTGCGATCAGCAGCAACCGCCGACACATCAACATGCCCCCTCACCCTGGAAATACAAAGAATCAGAGTAATCTTCTCTGGAAAATATGAAGCTGAAATACTTGAGACCCGGATAATTCTATTTAACCCTTCTCTTGAAGAGGGGTACGTTAACAACCCTCCGTTTACAATTTTTTTTCTTCGATGACAAACGCGAATGAAGGCTAAAAGAAGCACTCTGAAGGGAACTCTCGTAAAAGATAAGCGGCTTTAGGGCTGCGTATGGTACGCGTGCCTCTAAATGCTCTGTTTATTAAATCGGAGAATAGAATCTGGGCCAAACCAGCCGAGGAACACGTAGCAAGGGGAATATGGTAATTTGCCTCGACTGAGTGTACGCTGTTACGTACAAATGTCACCGGAACTGCGAGCAACTTGTACGGTCAATTCGACGCTGGCGCAGCGAACATTTGGTAGATCCAGCGATTTTCTAAATCGTTGGTAAATTATAAATGCCAGTCAGGGACGCAGTGTACCGATACAAAGAAGCAATATAATTTCATGGTCGTACGCTGTTTCCCGCTGAGACCAATGGCGGTTAATTCTCAATTTTCGCAAACACCGCTTACTGGGTAACAGAACAAGATGGCTGTTAAACGAGAAAATGGAACTATTGAACCATGGATCCTTTGTTAACTATCTTTTAACGTGTTTGAAAATTAATTGCGTAAGTGTAAGTTGGATAGGTGAACTCTTCAAGTTACGTCCTCTTCCTGATAGCGGCGAAGAAAAGTCATTCTAGGAAGTTGGATGGAAGTTTTCAACGTCAATAAGTTCCTGCCAACGATAACTTGTTCTTAACGAAATACCGTTCCCAGAGTGAAAATACCGAATGTCCACAGTGTACACGAGCCGTGAAAGTATCTGAAGGTTGTGATCGGTATTCCACGGCGAAAAACCGGTGTCCCAAGCAACCGGAAAGGAAGAAGCAGTCGTGGGTTAAATTGCCCGCACCGGCATCGAAATTGGGTCGGTGCACGAGAAAATCGACTGCAGATTGAGAGGACCTCTTCGCGGTGGATCAGCCCACCCACTGGCCTCCTTCTTTTTCCCTGGTCGTTTCCATCGATGCGAAATTGGGGCTGGTGAATCGTTGGCCAAGAATAGGCAGAGGATCGTGGATCGACGATTCTTCCCTCTCTTACAGATGGTGGCGGAGAACGATTGGAGGAAAGAATGATTTTGCGTAACAACCGAACACCCTCTCGCTCCAGTTCGGTTGTATACGTCGTCCCAACGCGTTTAGATCTACAACCTCACATAAATTGGCCGTGTGTTTTGGCCTCCATCTCCTTGAACACCGGCTTCGGTAATTGGACTTGCTTTCTACAGGGTGTATTCGAACGTTCATATCTTGGCAAGAACAAATGGATATCAAATTTTCTATCTGGAAGAATTTATATCCATCGTAATCAGGCAGAACCAGTATGGTTTTGATGTTACCAAAATTACCAAAGCTAATGAACCTTGCTGTCTTTCTACAGGGTGTATTGAAACGTTGATATGTTCTCTGGATATGAAATTTTCTACCTGGAAGAATTTATATCCATAGATGTAAGCAGGTGTAACCAGCATGGTTTTAATGTTACCAAAATATTAAGCTTTCATTACCAAAGCTAATGAACCTTGCTGTCTTTCTACAGAGTGTATTGGAACGTTGATATGTTGTCTGTATAAGAAATTTTCTACCTGGAAGAATTTATATCCATAGATGTAAGCAGGTGTAACCAGCATGGTTTTAATGTTACCAAAATATTAAGCCTTCATTACCAAAGCTAATGAACCTTGCTGTCTTTCTACAGAGTGTATTGGAACATTGATATGTTGTCTGGATATGAAATTTTCTACCTGGAAGAATTTATATCCATAGATGTAAGCAGGTGTAACCAGCATGGTTTTGATGTTATCAAAATATTAAGCTTTTATTACCAAAACTAATGAACCTGGTCCTCCAAAGAATCCTAGTAACATCTATTTTTGTATACATGCATGTATGACCTGAGCAGCTGATCTAAATAAGAAAAAGCATTCATTAAAAAGATGTTCAAAAGTTTGAATAGCTAACATATGTCTAAGGCTTTTAGATTCTTGAAAAAGTGTAAAGATTTTCCGGGAGAACACCCTGTACAGCAAACGTCGTTATTCCTGGCAACGGTGTGTACCGATAAAAGCTCGTTAATTTCCATGCTGCTTGCCTGCACATTGAAATTCTTGGCCAGAAAAGCGGTGGAAGGTGGAAAAAGCGGGCGACTGCCGTCTTGCTGGTTCCATTAACAATTCGGTGCCCTTTAATCTTTCCGAAATAAGGACACGAAATCATTCCGGGCACGAAGTACCTTCCGGTTGGCGAACTGTTTTTCGCTTTATTGATCGCGCAACTTTTTATCAATATAGAGAAGTAGAAAAGATAAGAAACCGACGGGTCATCGACGTCCACGAAGAAGCTACAACCTGTTGCTTAATTATAGCTTCTCGCGATCCTCTTTTCATCTCGATTGGTATGCACGCCTCGAAAATCGATCGCCCCGATATCGGCCTCGATGTCCAAAGAGTCCCGGTGGATGGCTTTCAGTAGTTTCGTCCTTTGATCAGGCTCAAAAAGTCTATCTATGGCATCCCTATTTGAATGCCGACCATGGCCAAGTGGATTGAGATCGATGGGCTCAGGATCCGTTTGATTCGGCCGAAATATTCAATGCTCGACGATATCCTAGCTTCGGGTTCGTCACTTTGTCCGCGACTCGTTATCGGATAGCTGTTCGTTGAATGCAGTTTTGATCGGACGGAGTGCCAGGAAAAAGCGACGATTACGAAGGGTATAAGTGATACAAGGCGCGGGGAATGCTTGCGGATAAGTCACTTTCCACACGAGAGATTTCATAACGAGGTTCCTGCCGGTGGCCGCGTGGGGCAACAGCAATAACGCGATATTAAAAATTACTGGTAATAAATAAGGCGGAAATTGCTACGGTGGAGGATTTTCATGATACTTGTAGTGGATTAAAGAGGCCTCGAAAAATGACGAAGAGCATCCCAACATTTACTGTAACAAATATATCCTTTTAATAGATGACGCTTTCCTTGAAAAAAAGTTTCCGACACACTGTGTGGGCAAACAGTAGATCAAGCGTTCTGTTGGTTTTGCAAACACATGGATTTTTTATCGCAACGATTTCTATAGATCCCCATTCGACCATACATCCCCCGGGGTGTTACGAGACAGATGCAATGTGTCTATTCGTGGGATAGAAACCTGCACATATGCGATCGAACGAAGTTGGCAGGGAAAAGTGCCAGGAGGTACTGAAAAGGGAAGGAAATAAGTGTTGTACGTGATGGTGGAGCCGGTTGCCAAAAATCAAACTTTCTGGACCGTAGAAAACCCGACAGAACTTAGCCGGGCCTCTAAATAAAACGGTAACGCGCAATTTTGCGATATTATATTCGACGGACGGTTTTCAATTGTGCATTAGTTGGTTGGCAAACGAAATATCCCCTCGCTTGATTAATATTTGCCCGAAAGCTCGGGTCGTTTTGCTGCTGCAAAAGCGAGGTATTTAATTACATCCTATGGCCTGGGTCATTAAATAAATAAAACGCCAGCAGCAGCGGCACCAGTACCACCAGGCAGAACCAGATAAAATTTTCATCCTGGTTACGGAAAACGATATCAAAGGGAATCAAAATTTCAACGCTTCTTTGGTTCGACCGATTATATCGTTAGCTCTTAGGACAACCGAATACATGCGTTTCCTGTCCATCCATATCTTTAATGATTCACGCTATGTTCTTCAGAATACGAACAAAGGATAATTATTGCTCTTTATCGCGTTTGTTAATATCTCGTCACTTTGCGTCGTCTTCATAATTCAAGATTTGCCACAAAATATGCTTTGGAGATTCTCTTGTGCGACGGTGAACTGTAAGTTGTATCCACGTGTTGCATGCCAACAGTCTTGACAAAGTACTGTATAGAATTCTTTTCACTCCTACGATTTGCATATCTGGAAATACTAGAAGTATATAATCTTATTTAATTGTCACGTGGCATAAATCTTATTTACCCACGGTTCATTTCTCATCGTACGGAACTAATCGATTGGCCAGCGCAATCTCGGTTGATCAAACATAGTCCGGTATTCTCTCTTCCTGTAGCAAGAGCTGAGTAAGTAAACCGTAGCTGGCGCGACCTGACATCATCAGGATTTTATCTAGCTGGTAATTTTCTTTCCATCGGTTCCACAGTGGACTTGCAAGAAATTAATTTATTCGACACCGATGTATAGCCCATGTCGTTCTGATGAATGTGCCTTTTCGAACCCTTCGGCCTTATTTTCTAACCCCAACGCGTTACGTCATCGTTGGGAATACTGTGTAATCAACCTCTACGTTTTTTCCTCTCTTTTTTAATCAAGAGGTAAGATGACGTCGTTGGAGGATGAAATACAATCGAAGAACAAATCAACGCTGAAAATTCAATTTTCACCTAAAGGGAGCGTCAGAAATTGGAACTTACAGAATTTGTTCTCCGTTATTAATCTCGTTGTCGAAGTTTCAGTCTGGACGAGGTCCTCGATAATCCGATACCTCGATATCACGTTACACCGTTCAAATTGAAGAATTGCCGTTCGTTGAAATTTTTAAATTCCAGAGAACTCGGCGTTCATTCATGCCTGAACAATTTCACGGTTTAGGGAAATCTCATCCAAATTCTTTGCAGCTTCCTTCGAAACGAGAAGCTAAATGTTATCTTATCGTTGGTCCTTTCGAGCGGGAGAATCCGTGATCGAAATCTAAACAAAAGTATCTGCTCAGCATGTTCGCGAGTCGATTCGGAAATTTATGTGATGGTACATTCATCACGCTGATTCTCCGACCAGTCAGGGTTTCAGTCCCTCTTTTTCAATCCTCGTTTCCCTGCAATTTATACGGAGCCACGTAAACATATCGCGATCGTACCGACAAAACAAACACATGTATTACCCAGGCTTGTCTATCAGAAGCTGGATAAGAGCGGCTGGCGCGACCTGGCATCATCAGGATCTTATCTGTCGTCGGTAATCTCGCTCCATCGGTCCCGTATCCCGGTTCCGTACACGCGTCATACATCACCAAACCAGCCGTGTTATACGTACAGCCAAAGCCCTGACGTTTAGCTTTTTGCGAGAGCGTCAGCGGGAACACACGTATTCGCGTGGTGGGTGCTGCTTCAATCCACGCTCGAGCCAGGAACCTCCATTATATATTTTCTCCTTCTTCCTCCTCCCTTCCTTTTTTGTCCCTCTTCTTTTTTTCTATTCTCCACTTTTCCACTCTTCTCCCTGCTGTTTCGCCGGTATCCACAGCCTCGTCGAATTCAGAGGCCTCATCCTTTCGTGCGGAAAAGAGAGTCGGAGCCAGGGAGCAGCACGTGAAGGAAGAATACCGCGCGATTGTTAGGCGTCCCCGATTAATCTACGACTTCTTTTCCTCTCCTTTCGTCCCCTCGCTCGTCCTACCCCGTCCTCTATGTCGGTGTAATGGTGCTCGTCTCTCCTCGTGATTGCGACGACACAAAGACACAGCCTCCACTCTTGTAGAGACGCATTGCGAAGACCGAGCTAGATATAGTTAACCGAATGAATGTGGGTGTCATCGACAGCGGCGACTAGCCAAGGTTCCTTTTCTTCTCGCAGAGGGTAATCAAAGTACCACCACCCTCAGCTTACCTCCAGGAATGGAGGATTGATTGGCCGAGTCGTGTTGATTGTGACGATGTCATTCTAACTTTACCTCTGAAATATAACTTCCTTCACAAATTTGTTGCATATAACCGGCGAAAGTTTAAGAGATTACTCTGATTTTCAAGCGAAGTTTTGACTAATCCTCAAGAACAAAATGTTAAATCTTGATAACGCCGCTGCTAAAGAGGATGTCGTCCAGAAAGCTTTGTATATTACTCATAAAATACTGGACACCTCAGAGTCTAACTATAATATCGCCATTGGTGTAACTTTCTATGGATCAGATCCCTTAGCTAACAGTGTCAACACTTCAGGAATGGCTTTTAGAAATCTGGAAATTTCAGAATTAGAAAATTCTGTGATTTGAGAATTTCTGTTGCATATATCTTACAACCCTCTGCATCATTCCATATTTTGAGGCAGTCTAATCCCTGCTTGCTTACATATTATTAAATCCTGGGACTGGATCAAACTGATGTCTTGTCGAGAACCAAATAATAAAAATAACTGCAAGAATGAAAATAATAAAGGAGCAGAAAAATAAAATCGGTGCTTCAAAATTTTAATCGTCGACTTTTTACCTTGCTGTTAGAGGCACCTCGTGGCCAAAGCGTAAAGCGTCGGCTCCACGAATTTTCATGCTTCTACTTACAAACCGCGTACCATGATTTACGGCGGAAAAAAGAGATAAAGAAGGCCAGTGGCGAGGAACATTTTAATCAGGATGGAACAATTTCTGGCATCCAAGTTTTGCGCGGATGACGTGCATACATGTGTTTTATATTTTTTTCGGAGCGTCCTATCTGAAAATCAGTGGTAAAGCTTGACAAATTGAAGAACGCCAGGAGTTAAAGGTACAAAGGTAAAAATTTATGCTCCCTGTGCATTTCGAGCAACAGAAAAGAAATATTAATCATACTGTTTCTATATGAAAAGTCACGTGAAGCTGCGAAAGGAATTAATTACGTTGCCGTTTTACGGGGCGTATTATCGCGCATTTATTCGCTAAAATTGTTTGACAGGATGTTGGCCGGGGCCCCAACAGAATTTACAGCCATCCCTGTCATTCTTCAAATAGACCCTCCGAAAAATCAATGCGCGATCATACCGCTGCAAAACCCGGTCGTAGCTTCATAAACGTATCTGTTTCGTGACCATCATATAAAATGTTTCTATTATTTACCGGTAAATGCGATCCGGTCAAGGTCTGTCGACAAAAATGCTAAGCTTGATTGCAATGCATCAAATAAAGCGGAAATAACCATTTCATGTTTGAAATCAAATAACCTCATTCAAACTGTTCCATACACTTCATCCTGTTATGTATTCTAATTCCTAAAACGAAATGATGATAAACAGTAAAATTTCTCCGGGGTATAATTTATTTTCCTACATTGAAAATTAAAAGTTACCCTTTGTGTTTTGTCCGATTCATTCATTCCGAAACGTTTCTCTACTTCAAGTAGAATAGGACCGGTGTGTGTTCTGTCTCGTCTCCATAACCTACAAACCGGTGCGATGCAAAAAGCGGTGGACGAAGTATTCTTAAGAAAAGAGAAATTAGCCAATCCAAGAAAGGGTCGTTCCTCTCCGCGAGACATTATCTCGACTACAAAGAGGTTGACAAAGCTTGACTGTTGGTAGATGAAAAATTTCTAGACCAACCCTTATAATCAAGGACATAACCAATGGACTGACGGGCTGTGTGTTGCGTGATGCAGGATGCATGCCCGGAAGGTACGTGTTTCTTTTACCGACCGAGGTTAATAGCTTCAAAACGAAAACTGGAGATCAAGAAATTTAATTCAGAAATTCCGATTCATTCGAGTTGCTGAAACAATTAATTATACAGAAAAGTTGCATTTAAAAATTCAAATACTTCGAGTGGAATCTGTTTACCGAAGTAATTTGAGACTAATGTCAGGCACCCGTCTTTAGTATTTTCTTACTTCGAAAAGGAGGTGTATTTAACTTTATCCAACTGCTCGTGAATATTACAGTTCGTATCCCTGAATATCGTGGATCAATAATACTTATTCGAGGTACTGGTGCCGGGGATAATTAAAACGGGAACAGTGACCTGCCGTCGACCGAAGATCGTTGCCCGATAATCTCGAATTTCCATTTATTTGCAGAGTAATTATAAATGCAGACAGAGTGCAACATGGATAAAGGTAATTCTATGTACATATTTCTTACATTTATTGTCGTTCGAACTTAAATTGTTAAAACATTAAACCAGGCACTGTATCCTGTTCGGTGTTGTGGAGGTATCTTTTTGCTCGAGGTATCAAGGTACGAAGTTTCGAACTGTCAACTTTTTTACTTGTTTCAATAATTTCTTTTAGGTTAGACAGTTCGTATTCTGGAATGCTCTACTGTGGACCACGCAATAATGTCAATAATTATGACATTAACCTCAAATTGTTAAAATTCTATCGAAAAATGGCGGGAAACTTTTAAAAGGTAATTGACGTAATTAAAAGGTATTCACGTAAGTGTATTTATTAATATAAAATATAAAATAAAGCATGATTGAATGTTTAAACCTTATTGATAATACCAAAAGTAAACATACAATATTTGCAGAGTAAACCATCAATATGCAAACAGCGATAAACAAAATGCTAATTACAAATGTAGCAAAGTACAAATGGCAGTGGGAAAAGAGAAGAAAGAACGGCAGAATTACTGAAAGGCGAATCGTTTTAAATATTGTTCGGATTAAAGAATGTTTGAAGATGTCGAAGAAAAAATCTTGAAACATCGGTGCTCGTCGAGCGTCTCAAGACCAACTGAAATATGCAGCAGGCAAGTGCGAGCGAGAAAGACGAGAAATAAAGCGTAGACAGGGACGGAGTGATAAGAGATTTTAGAAGGGTAGGAATAAGAGGCGAGAAAGAGAGAAAACAGTTAAAAGGAAGTAGGGAAGCAGCAGTTGATTAACTTTTCACTTGGCGTTATTGCTTTGAAACGGTCTCAACCTTGCGAGTGGCGTTTATAAGTTGCTTTCGAAAAGTTGCGTTGAAACATCGTTCGATCAATACGTGGCCAACACGGACGGTTGATTTATCGTTTAACAGCATTATATATTTTAAACTTTCCGACGCTTTCAACTGAAAATTCTCTACATGTTTATACCGGCTACGTTTCTGCACTCCCCGATCCCCTGCTCACCCTCTTTCCATGTAACTTATCCACGTTTATTTTCACGTTTTACTAATTCAGAGACTCGGATTATTGTATTAACCAGTTTTTTCGCAACAGTTTCCCGAGCTTGTATCTCGAAATAGTCCATAAAAAAAACATGCTTTCATATGCACAAATCATCACGAATCAAGATTTTTATTTTTTAACATAACTCGTACCGGTTAAAGGAATATCATATTCTGCCGAGGTAAAAATTTAATGAAAAATACAGAACTCGAACGCACGAACGTGTTCCGTAAATTTGTATTTATGCAATATTTAAATGTTATTTTACAAGTCGCTTAAACTGCAGTATACGTAGTCGCATGCACGTATTTTTACCTGTATTTTTTATTCCAACAGGAAGTAAAAACATAGAGAAGTAAGGCACGACTTTGTAACCAAGTTGCGAGGTTGGAAAGTTTAATTATTTACGCAATTCGTTTTGGGGCAACTCTAAACAATGTAGGCATTAGAATATTAATCATTGACGATGGGTCCCAGGGAGCGCGAACATGGTATTACAGTTGTCACTCGTTAATTCTGTGTTAGGAATACCCCAGATGCACGCGAATGCATCTCATTTTGTCGCCTAGATCAGTGATGACAAACAAACTGTAATAATTCTCTATTCTCGCAGGGAACGCAAGGAATTATCGAGCGGCTACTATATTTGGAACATCACTGCCAGCGTGTCAACGTATGTCGTGAAAAATCTAAAGGTTTCGAGAGCATGAAAGGGGACAGACGGAGCAAGCGAAAAACCTTTGTCGCCCTTGTATCGTCCCGTGCGCCAACTTCCCAGTTGCGCACTGTACACGTATCTTGCTCGATGAATGCGAACAGGGAGAATTCAGAAACACGAAATAATCCCTTGTTTTATGAATCCAGCAGAGCGCGCGTACGTAGATACGTGTAGAGGTACGTGGCCGTCGAAGTTAACGAAGAGCTTGTAGGCGAACAAAAGCCCGTTGTTATCCGGGAAAGGGTAATTGTTCGATCCGGCTAGGCAACATCAAATTTCTGTTTGCGAAAATCTATAGCCATTTAGTTGCCGAATCCAGGCATTATCTTCTGTTAAATATGAAATATAACGGTACACGGAGGGATGAGACAATCGCGGTGAAGAATAACGAAATGATTAATTCCTCTTGAGCGATTCCTTTCAACCAATGGCGCTTTACCCATGGTGCACCGGTGACACGAACACGCGAGATGGAGGGGGACGAGATCGGATGGCAGGTGACGGCCGGAATCATTTTTAAGCGATCTAATTCTTTCACGTTTTCTTTTCGAGCGAACAATGATTTATCGCGTCGTAAATTTTTCAAGAGGATTTCATACAAAGAGAAGTTGGCGAATGAGGAAGAATAGAAGGAAAGAAGGATAGAGTGGAGATAAAGAAAGAAAAATAGAAACTGAAACGAGAGACGGCAACGGCGGG